TCCTCTCCTTCAAGTGTGTGACTTTCTGTGAACATCACCTGGGATCGGAGCTTAGGCCTTCTCATCTTTTGTTTCATTCTCTTCTCCAAAGAACTGACCCATTCTCAGTTTCCTTCATAACTGTATGTTTTTTAAAAAAGATTTTATTTATTTATTTTTGCATAGAACTGGGGTGCAGGCTGGTGAGAGGATTGACTAGAGATAGCATAGGGAGCGGAACAGGTGGACCTACTGAAATACACTGCTGAGGGGAGCAATGGGTGAGATGGGAGAGGTCTGCTGTGCCATATGTGGGTTAGCTCCCTGGCCGGGAATCAAACTCAGGCCATAGATATGGCCTTCATGGTGGTAGTGCTGAGACTAAACCCTATGCCACCAGGAAGGCCCTATAACAACATGTTTGATTCTGAAATGTTTCACTTCCAATCTCCACCAGCCTCTCTCTAGAATTCTGATCCTGGGCTTCTAGCCTACATGTAGATTAAATTCTTTTATTTAACACATTCACTTGGGCCAAACTCTTCATCTTTCACTACCAAATTTTATATTCCATTGATAGAAGTCCCCTCTTTTATCAAAATCTCTAAGAAATTTTGGTGTCTCATTTTTGTTTAACTCCTAAATTCTTTTAACTTTTTGGTTTTGCATTTGTATTTTTTTCTGTTGTCTTCACCAAGACTGGACCTCATTTACTTCCTCCAAGGGTATGGCAATATTCTCCTCATTGGCTAACTTGTCCCCTACGTTTTGGGAAGACCTGAGCACACCCCCCCACCCACCCCCCGAATCCATTTGGACTGCTGTTTGTTTGAGAACCCACTTTTCATTCAGGACAAACGCCTAATTCTCAAACTTGATATTCTAAACCAGCACTGTTGAATAGACCTTACCATGACGATAGCAGTGTTCTATGTCTGCAATATGGCAGCCACTAACCACATGTGATTCTCTAGCACTTGATATGTGACTGAGAAATTGTATTTTTAATTTTCTTTAATTTAAATTTCACATTGTCTTCACACCACTGATCTTTAATCCCAGCCTCCAGCTCTGGCCAAACTCCACCGAAGGTCACCTGATTTTCAACTTCTAGCTTCTTTCTGCACCTGAGCTATGGGGCTTTTCTCTCTTTTCCATTTCAGACCTTCTCTAGCCCTCAGGTCCATCCTGGGCACCACCCCTTCTTTTCTCCTCAACCCAGTGTCCATTCTTTCTCTTCCCATTGGAATGACCATATTGTGTTGGCTAAATAAAATGATTTTTTTCATTTTTATTTTGAAATAAAATAGAAAATTCGCTGAACAAGTACAAAGAAATTGTCATATATCTTTCACTCAGATTCCTCAAATACTAACATTTTACCAAGCTCACTTTATCATATTTTCTCTTGGGGTACAGGCCAGAAGTGGGGGGGGGATGAGAAGATTCACCAGAGACAGAGTGGGGAACAGAACAGGCAGATTGATCAAAGTACACCGCTGAGGGGAGCAGCGGGCGAGCCAGGAGAGGTCTGCTGCACCATGTGGGTTGCTCACTGGCCGGCAGGGAATTGAACTCATGCTGTAGAGGCTGTGGACAGCTTCATAAGTTGCGTCTTAACCTCTTGAGTCACCAGGGAGGCCCTAGTTTTTAAGTAAGCTGTTCACACGTATCCTCTATATCTAAGCACGTTGGTGTATATGTCCTAAAAACAAGGACAGTATTTTATAAAACCAGTTTAGGGATCAGAACACAAAATTAATATTGATATAATACTATCATCTAATTTATTGGCCTTATTCAAACTTTTTCAGTTGTTCCATATAATGTCCTTTAGGGTAAAATTTTTATAAATAACCTTTCCTAAGGACCACACTCCTTGACATTTAAGCCCTGTGGACAGGCCCTACTTCTTACATTTGTTTGGTTTTGTCCTTAGTACGCAAGTCAATCATGTGTATTGATTGGCATGGACCTGGCACATAGGGGGCACTTGAAACATTTTTGTGAGAGGGACAGGTGACCAATATTGACAACAAGTCAGAGTGGACTTGGTGAATGCAGGCCTACCCTTTGCTTAACAGTGTAACTCGTCACTTTGCTCTGTGATCTGAGTGCTCCCGTGTGGGATTGCCTCCTTCCAGCCCTAAAGTGGCTACAACACTCGCCTCATCTCACCACTGATAATCCACAAAGTTAGACCTCGTCTGTGGCCACAAGTAGCGCCATGCCTAAGTCAGCACATAGTGCTGCTTCTCTGTAATCGGCAGAGGCAAAGCTTCCTGCATACTTATGCATTACATGTGCGTGATTCACAACCATAACCCATCCACTCACTTAGTGAACAGTTTTCAAGAGCCTACTGTGTGCCAGGCACATTGGGTATATATAGCAGTGAGCAATAAATAAATAGATAGATAGATAGATAGATAGATAGATAGATAGATAGATAGATAGATAGATAGATAAGGCCTGGCCCTCAAAAAGTTTACAGTTTAGGGAGCAGGAAAAGAGCAGAAAATAAATAAGTAAATAAATAGTTTGTTATATGGTGATAAGTGCCATGGGGGAGGGCACTTAGAAGATTGTTAGAAGTTCTCTAGCAATTTCTAGTAAGTGACTTTTTCCCATTTTTTGTGTATTAAGGTATAATTTATGTAGGAGAAAATTCACCCTTTCTAATGCAGAAATTGTGACAATCTAGATATGGTTCTAGGGTGTGGTATGGAATATACACTTACCAAGGTGTAAAGCTATACCCCTGAAATTATATAATTCTGTAAACTAGTGGGAAGTCAATTGAAAAAGGAAATAAGGATATAGTTTTATTACCTTAAAATACATCTCCGCATGCCCCTTAATCCTTCCCCTCACCCACCTCTGGTAAGCACTAATCTGTCCTCTGGCCCTATAGTTTTGCCTTTCCCAAAATGTCATATAAATAAAATTGCAGTTGACCTTTGAACAACTTTGGGGTGAGGGGCACCCTAACCCTTCCCCTTTCAAACCCACCTCCACCAGCAGTTGAAAGATCCACATATAAATTTGTTTCTTACATTGTTGTTAATTTTTGAACAATATTTGACTTCTCCCTTCAAGTGTAGTCCCCTGTCCTTCTCCCACCACAATAGCAACATGGATTATATTGAACTATCATCACAGTCTCTTGCACTCTTCTTCTTTTTTTTTTTTTTAAGATTTATTTATTTATTTATGCAAGCACTGAGTACAGTCAGAAGCGCAGGAGGGTGAGAGAATTCACCAGAGCCAGAGCGGGGAGCAGAGCAGGCAGAAGGACCGAAGTACACTGCTGAGGGGAGCAGCAGGCGGCAGGAGAGGTTTGCGCGCCATGCGGGACCCTCCTCTGGTGGCCGGGGAGCAGCCGGGGATCGAACCGGTGCCACAGAGGCTGCAGGCAGCTTCACAACCCAGCGCTCAACTGCTGCGCCACCAGGGAGGCCCTCTTGCACTCTTCTCTACCCTGTTTTGACCCCATTCCCTCTCCCTCCCATGCTGTATGCCTCAGATCTGTGGTCAGTTTGCAAGTTTTTTCTTTTTCCTGATCCTTTGTTTGGTTTCTCTATATTCCACATATAAATTTAACCCTCCGATATTTATCTTTTTCCTTCTGACTTATTTTGCTTAGCATAATCCCTTGAGCTCCATCCATGTTGCTGCAAATGGCATGAGTTTATCTTTTTTGATCCTAGGAATCTACCCAAAGAACACAAAAACACTAATCCAAAGGAAACCTGCACTCCTATGTTTATTGCAGCACTGTTTACACATATAACTTTTGACTTCCCTAAAACTTAACTGATAGCCTGCTATTGACCAGAAGCCTTACTGATCATGTGAACAGTAGGTTAGCACATGTTTTGTATGTTATATATAATATAAACTATATTCTTACAATAAAATAAGCTAGAAAAAAATTAAGAAAATCACAAGGGATGTATATAGATATATAGATATATATCACTACAATAAGTTGGCATTGTCTCTAAGAAAATTTTTGTATAATTGGACCCACACAGTTCAAACCAGTGTTGTTCAAGGATCAGCTGTATATAGCAGAGTCTTTCGAGTCGGCTTCTCTTAGCAGAAGAGAAAAATAAACCACTGATTTGTGTTGTATAATCCATGTTGCATGTATCAATAATTTGTTCCTTTTTGTTGAGGATTTTTCCTTTTTATTTTGGTTTTTGAGGTTACCACAGTTCACCCTTTCTCCAGTTGAGGGACATTTGGATAACTTCTAGTTTTGACAACTACCAGCAAAACCACTGTACACGTTATCATACAGGTGTTTATGTGCACATAAATTTTCATTTCCCTTGAAGAAATAGGGTAGGTGACTTTTGGGGAAAGACCCTGAAATAAATATGAAAACAAACCATGGAGATAGCTGAGGACATTTTGCATATCCTTCATATTGTTATTTAGCTAATAAATAGGTTCATGCTGCAAAACTGATCTGTTTGGTATTTTTTCTTATTTGAGTTATTTGGATAAAGTGGGAGTATAAATGCAGGACAACTTTGGTTGGTTCATTCATTTGTTCATTCATTCATTGATCCATTCAACAAACATAAAAAAATGAAAGCCACCAACCCACAGTCTGTTACCCAAAGGAAGCCTGAGACCCTTGGATCCACACCAAAGGCTAATTTTAGCTGGCTTATCTGATATCATTTCCTTTCTGAATTTCCTGACAGTTAGGGTGAGAAAATAGTTAGTGAGTTTGGGGTTAGCATCATTGAAATGAGCAATGGAGGCTTAGGAATTTTTAGAGTCTTTATCTGCAGAGGTTCTAGGGACCTTGGAGGTCCTTCTGAGAACTGATATTCATTAGATAATGAGGTGTTCTGAATCGGAGTGCGGGAATCTCTGTAAAGACATATTCAAATGGACCCTCTCTGGATAAGCAGCCAATGCGCAAGCCCACATCCTCCCAGGTTTTAGGATGTCTGTGAAAAGCAGAACTGACAGAAAATAACCTGTCTACTTCTTTGTTTCAGGTGATGCAACTGTGAAAAAGAAACCTACCCCCAAGACACCTCCAAAGGCAGGTAATTGGTCACAGCACATTTGGGGACAAGGAAATTACTCACCATGAGGGATTTTTCCTTTGTCTCACTGGATTGACCACTGGGTATGTGGTCCCAGAAATACTCTGTCCCCATTTAAACTCTGCATTAGTCAGGGGGTGTTTTCCTGGAGGGTCTCTGCACAGCCTGGTCCCCCAACCTCTTCTATTACTTACCTGCTTCTCTGTATGGACAGCATCACACAGCGCTACTTTCCCTTCCCTTCTACAAGATTCTGCCCCACCTTCTGCCCTCCACTCTGTTCTCTATGAAGGTGAGCCACTTTGTGCTTCTTGAATGCTCTGCTGTGTATGTCCTTGTCCTATGGAACCTTTTCTTTTTTTCACTGAAAGACATTTGAGGACATGAACCATATTGCACCTGTCAGCCAGGGTGACCTGGAGGTTAGAGAGCAAGGTGCTTCTTAATTAATAAAGGAATTAAAGTTCAGATTTTAAAAATTAGGGTAAGATGCAAATACCAGCAAATGGAGAATGATGTCATGTGAATCAGAATAAAGAGATGAACAAACTTAGCGCATCCATCAACTTGGGTATCCTGGAGCAACCACCACAACCCATGGTCACCCTGAAGAGCCCAAAGGCAGGAGAGCAGCCACAGAGGATATGAACAGCAGCAGCAGATCAGAGTGTCCCAGGCTTCCCGCTTTCGGAGCTCATGTCTCCCCTTGTCCTCTCCCAGCCATGCCCCCTCAGATCATCCAGTTTCCTGAGGACCAGAAGGTACGTGCAGGAGAGTCTGTGGAGCTGTTTGGAAAAGTGGGAGGCACCCAGCCCATCACCTGTACCTGGATGAAGTTTCGAAAGCAGGTGAGTAACAATGGGGAGCACCTGAGAATGCCCCACACAGCCTCTGGGTAGAAAGGGGTGAGAAATGCTGTAATGGAGACAGCATCACTTTTCATCACGGGGGTCTTAGAAATGGGAGTACCCTTACCCGCCCAACACCCACCCATCAAATCTGAGCTCTCGGTAACCTTTTCTTTAATCTACCAATAACATCTGCTTTCTAGAAACTTTGTATACTAGAAAAAAGTATGACCCAGAAAAAAGGAACTATCCAGAGCTTCCACCTAATTTTGATATTTCAGTCTAGAATCCTGTTCATAGTCAGGGAAATCAAGTCAGTGACCTAGACGAACTCTAAGAGTCTGAGCTTTCTGAGATTCTGTGCCAACCCACTGATCCCTGATGTGGTGCTAACTTTAGCTTACCATGTGCTGAAGGGATAAAAGTGAATCGAAGTAGATAAATTATATGTTAAATGGGACTATGGTGTACTAGCCCAGAAATCGAGCTACCATTTATAATAGTTATCCTACAAAAATATTTGGATTTCTGAATAACCAGCTACTAAAGGGTCTGGGGAGGCCTGCATTCCACAGCCCAATGCTGGTGTGTGGGTGTGTGCTGTTGGCAACCCTGCAACAACCTGGCCCAGATGAGCACCTCTCCACACAGGTGTGAGAGTTCCTCTGAGCCCCTGTTGTTCTATTTCCCAAGCACTCAAATTGTCCTAAGATCAACACATAGGAGGCTAGACTTAGGAAGGAAAGGAGGGTTTGTCTCGAAAGATGAAGAGAGCTGCCTTGTCATCCCAAAGCAGGCTTGCACTGAGCTGTGTCCGGGTGAGTGTTATCTGATGTGAGAGAGACTAGCATCCCTTTCCAGAGACATTTAACCAAGCCCCAGCTCTGTCCAACAGAACTTTCTGTCGTGATGGCTATGTTCTGTATTATCCATTGTCCAACATGCCCAAATACCAGTGGCTATTGAGCACTTGAAATGTGGTTGGTGCAACTAAGGAACGGAATTTAAAATTTTAATTCATTAAAAATTGCAATAACAGCTTTGTTGACATACCGTAAAAGTCACCCTTAAATGTGTACAATTCTGCATGTTTGAAAGTTGTACAACCATAACAATGATCTAATTCCAGAACATTTTCATCATCCTAAAAAGAAACAGAGCCCATTAGCATCATTCCTCTGTTCTGCCACTTCCCCCAGACTCTGGCAACCCCTAACCTACTTTCTGTCTCCATGGATGAGCCTATTCTGGACATTTCATATAAATAAACTTTCATGTGTGGTTTTTTCTAATGTAGCATAATTTTTCAAGTCTCACCCATGAATCAGTACTTCATTTCTTTTTATGGCCAAATAATATTCCATTGTCTGGATATACCATATTTTCTTAATCTGTTCTTCGGTTAATGAATATTTGTATTATTTCTATTTAATTAATTAAACTTTATGTAACCACATGTGACTAGTAGCTCCAGTAGTCTGCAGCACAAAAAAGGTCAGAACCCCCTGGAACAGGCTTTGTATATGACTTCGCTCTATCATCCCATCTCAGAAGGACACTCCTCAAATCTGTTCTGGAGTGGTAAGTGCAGACAGAATTCACCCCTGACTCTGCACAACACCTCCCTGCCCACCCCAGATCTGGACCCCTCAGGAAAGCTTGGCTCCAGATGTAGCAAAGGATGGGCACTAAGGAAGCAGAGTCAAGATGAGGGAGAGCCCCACAGAGTTTGTCCAGCTGCAACTTTTAGGAAGTGAGGAGTGGGGGATGGAACCCCTTTCTTTGCTGCCATCTCCAATAGCTGTCCCCTTCTGACCCCAGATTCAGGAAAGCGAGCATATCAAGGTGGAAAACAGCGAGAATGGCAGCAAGCTCACCATCCTGGCCGCCCGCCAGGAACACTGCGGCTGTTACACACTGATGGTGGAGAACAAGCTGGGCAGCCGACAGGCCCAGGTCAACCTCACCGTTGTGGGTGAGTCTGGGGATGGGCAGAATGGAGGGCAAGAGAAAGGGAAGGTCTCAGGTCTTCCTCACCCAGGGGTCTGCTCCTTCCACACCCATTCTGTCTGCCCACAGCCTGTTCTCCTGCATCCCTTCTGCTCCCACACTACTGCTGCATTTCATGCTGGTGGTGGATTCCAGACCTGCCACCCTCCCCCCACAGCATTTCCTCTTCCATGGACCCCCTCCTGGCTTCTCTTTCTTTCTAGCCTTTAGAGACCCTAAGCTCCACTACTCCAGGCCCTCTCCTGCTAGCACCTGTAAGTCCCTCTCCTTCTCGGTCGTCCTCCCAATTGCCTTTCTCCTGCTCTTCCCCCAGTCGCCTTGCAAATCTTCACCTTGAATCAGTGCTGCCTTCAGACTTCACTGCTCCTAAACCTGATTTGGGGATCCTACCCAAAGATCACATCAACCCACAGACTGGACTCTGCCAAGGTCCAGGCTCAGCACAGGCATCCATGCTAGTCAGTGCACTCTTCCACTGTCTGTGATCACTTATTATCCAGCAGGCTTCGGCCTCCAGCTTCTCTGAAATGAGAGGCATCAGGCTCAACTTGGTAGCTCTCCGCCTATGGATGTCTCTTTAGCTGTCCCCATGCTGACTCCGCCTCCAGGCTCAGTGTGGCCTACCTTTCTGCCACCTTAGACTGTTCCTGCCCTCTGACTCCAGTCTCTGACCTCAGGCTCCACTCCCCACCTTCTCTCTTGTCTTCAATGTCTCTTCCTTTCTTCCATAAATGTTGCTGGTGTTCTCCCATCTTAGCCAAAGACACAGGCATGGAGAGATATCTTGTTTCCCTCTGGCCACGCTGCCATCTCTTTGTCTCTTGCTCTTTGTCTTCTGCTTCTTCACCTCACCTCCCTGCAGGCCACCCCACACCTTCTTGGTCTGTTGGGACTGCCCTTCTGAGGTCACCATGACCTCCTAATCCTAAATCCACCCCCTTTCTCTGTTCTTATACCTCCTGGTATTGAGTGGAGTCTGCCTCCAGAATGATCTCACATTCACTCTTTCCTCTCCATCCAAATCACTTGTTTTTCATGCCCTGCTCAACTCTCTCCTGAAGTATCAAACTGGCTCTCTAGCTGGTCTTCTGCTGTCAGTGGCACTAGGATGGCGGAGGACGGAGCAGGTGCAGGGGCAGACAGATGGCGAGTAGGCTGTGACCTTGTGCATTTGTGGGCATCATGTGTGGCGTGTGAAAGCCTTTGACTTGATGTTTATTTACCTGACACAGCCTTTCTTTTGTTTCCTTAGGCCAGGGGAACTGGCCAGTGTACTAAGCGGTTGGGAAGAGAGGTTTCTCTTCTGTAAAAGGCAGGGGGAACCCTTTGCTCACTCTTTCTCTCTGTAGTGACACTGATGCTAATTTCCATCAGTTCCCCTGAGGAGTCAGGAGCATTAGGAAGGCTGTCTTATCAGTACTAGTGGTCCACTTTGCTTTTACATCTAGACCTGCATCTGAAATACTGATTTGGCTCCACAGCCAAGCCCTGGTTTCCAGTTCTCCTTTGTATTCTCTCTGACCTGCCCCTGCTTGGAGAATTTGGGGTGCACTCCATTGCACTGCCTTTTTGTGACTCGTGCCCCCCACCCTCCTGCTCTGGCCAGTGCCCGTGCAGTGCCCACACACTCCCTCCCCACCACTACTGCATGGGCTGCAGTTCTAGCCTTTTATGGTTTAGTTTCTCATTCTCCCGGCCAGTGCTGACAGGGCCATTGGCGTGGCTGCCCGCCAGCTGGCAGGAGCAGCATGTTAAATGCCGTCCTGGGAGGAGAATGGAATGGAGGGGAACGGGCTTTCTGTCTGCCTCCCCCACTTAGAGCTAAGAATAGAATTGCTCAATAAACTGAGGACTTGCATTGATGGCTACAGCAAAGCCACATTCATTCAAAGCCTGTGGATTTAGAGTTAGTCCAAAGTAAACCTGGATTAAGCCCAGCTTTACCTGTGCATCTCTAGGGACATCTGTGCATTATCTGATTAGGGTTTATTAAGTAGATGTAAAATGTAAATGATGAAGCAGGAATTGTTTGGCCTGCTCCAGACAGTTTGCAAGCACTTTGGAGACATCCACTTACCGGTCAGCTAACAAAGGCCAATCTGATAGGCTTTTACTTGTTAGCAGTAAACCACTCTTACTCTGTGTTCTTTAAAGTCCCCTTTCTTTTCTGCTAGTCTGTGACTCCTATTTTTCAAACGGGTACTAAGAAATGGCCGTTCCCTCCATGAGTAAACAAATGATGTTCAGATATTTTGGAGGCTTATTATTACCATATTTTAAAAGGCAGCCCAGGGATTATGTCTCAGAGAGCCGTAGCCTTGGCCGGGGGTGATGCCTGTGCCTCTTGCTGCAGCTGGGGCTGAGGATGGGGCTGCCTCTCAGGCAGAAGAGAGCAGCTCAGGCCAGATGCTTCCTTCTTACAGTAACTTGTCCAGCACAAAAAAAAAAAAAACGGCTCTCCTCATACCTTTAAAAAACAAAGTGGAAAGAACCTGAACTACCCCAAAATCCCCAAATACTATCTGAGCCTGGAATTTGCATGATTTTTATGGCAAGAGATTTCCCTTTGTAATGTTTGGCTTAGACATAAGCAAGATGCGTTCTTGATCTTACTCTGCCTGATAACCTAGAAAATAACACACCCTGGAGTAAGGGTCTGGAGGTTTTTGGAATCTTCTCGTGGCTCTGCCACTGATTAACTGAGTATCCTTATCATGTCAGGAGCCTTAACCTCCTAGCTTCCAAGGGTTGAGGGTCTGGTAGGCAGCTCCGGGGGACCCCTTCAGCCACTGCTATTACCTAAAAGCCTCAGGCAGCTACTGAGGTCTATAAAGGGTGGTCCCAGTGAGGGTGGTCCCAGCCAGGCACGTACAGAACTCAAGGGCTGTGACTCTAGTGAGAAGCTTTAGAGATGAGGTGAGAGCTTCCATTTTCCCAGGAGTGAGAAAATTTGCTGAACAGAAAATCTTGGAGCTGGTGCCATCAGAGACCCTTCTCTTAGACTCAGCATTTCCCATTCTGTCATTCAGGTCTCCAGGGAACCATGGGAGAATTCTGAGGAAGCTTGGAGCTGGGGCCCCTAGACACTGAGCCCGCCTCTGCTTTACCAGTCCATGCCCAAGCTAAGTGCCTCTATGGCTTTAGCATGGAGCAAAGGCTCTTGGGAGCCCTGTTCTGAAGGCATCTGTTCTGATGGGGTTCACCCCTGGATAGCCCAGCCTCTGTGTGGGGCTCTGTGGGTGGAAAGAACAGAGAGCCTCAGGTGCAGCCCATAGTCTAGGGCTGGCATGGGGGTGAGGGCAACAAGAGGCTTCCAGTGTCTTACAACTTCAATTTTGGGTCTGTTCTGAACACCTTTGTTTGGTACCCACTTCCTTAAGAGCACTGAAGTATTATTTGGAATTCAAGTTTCCTTCCCCAAATTCTGCACCTTTTCTTGTGGTACAAGGGGTGACGTTGTCCTGGTGTCAGCTCTTTTCTGTCCTTCAGCCAAGAGACATCTGTAACAGGGTAGGGTACAAATAGTACCTCTTCCACACTACCCATTTCTCAAAGTTTTCTTTTCTTGACCAAAGCAGAGGAGAGGAAATCAGTCAGTGAAGTGTTTCTGCTTTGGTTATATAAACCTACACGACTCTAAATGTGTCCGATGAGATGCTGTCCAGGCAGTTTTCTCTGAGGGAAGCAGCGAGTCTGTCTTTCATCCCTCTCTAGGTTTTTTTTACTTCCCTAGCTGGGTCTTGAAAAGACTTGAACCACTTGCCTCTAAGAGAGTTTAGAGTAATAAACATCTTCTCCAACACCAGAAATATTTCTGGAAAGACTAATATATCTTTCCGAACAGTTTTTCTAAGAGAATATATTAAACAATCAGTGAAAGTGGTTCCATTCTCTAGAGTGACTGCCGACCGACTCTGGAAAGTGGCTCTGTGATGATCCCAGTGGTCCAGGGCGAGGTCAGGCCTTGCTTGGAGGGGGTGGACAATTTCCGGGCAGTACACTGTAGGCTGAAACATAAAAGCAGCAGGACTTGGGGAGGGATGAGAGTATGTGGATGTGCATGCATAAGCACACATACACACAGGAGAATGTGTTCTTCTCCCCCTGTGCACAGGATTATTTGCAGGAATTCTCTTTGGCCTTCTCGCCCTGCTGACAGGTAGGAGGACAGGAATCAAGTACTTTGCCTGAGTTTGCCTGAGACTTACAAAATTCCTACAAATAGGTACATATTGGCAGTATTTTCTAGGTGAAAAAAGACAAACAAACTTGTACTTAGAAGTTATGGAATTTGCTAAAGTTCACATAGCTTATAAGTTCATATGGCTTAGAAAGCACAGTTTTTACTGCTAGTTTGAGAAGCTGTGCACCTCAGACTGCCTTGTGGGCATGAAGGGTGACTGATTATCTATAACTAAACCAACCACCTACAGAAACTAAATCTGAAAAATAAAAGAATTTGACTGAGATGAGCAAGTGACAAAATCAGCAAAATTCAAGAACCTCATTAAAGCATTGACTGGTGTGATTTATATAGCTTTGCTGGTTCTTAGCATTGCTGTTCTGTGTGGGATGGTGGCCAAAGGGGCTGCGTCTTGTTTGTGTCCTCAGATCATTTTCCGGCCCTTAGTCAGGGGTGGTTGTGATTTGCTCTTGTGGTTTGCTTCTGAAATTCTTTATTATATTGTATACCAGACCTAAGAGGGCAAAAGAGGTACAATATGAGTAACTTTTTATTATACTATAAAGTTAGAAATAAGCTCTTTCAATAATGACAACAGTAATGATTACTCAAGCCAGCCACATTTCTAAATATCTTTCCACAACAACCTTGTGGTCCAAGTGCTATAATTATCCACATTTACAGATGAGGAAACCAAGGCACAGAGAGGTTAACAAGTAGCAAATTGAGACCCAGCCATGTTCAAACCCAGATTTGCGTGTTACACTGCATCGCCAGCATTTCCCTAGTCCCAGAAAAAGTGGAGACTGCCCCCTGGTCATGTCACAGGTCACTGGCCTCAGGCCCAAAGACAACACACACACTCACACACACACACACACACACACACACACACAGGCACACACTGAACTCTCTCTCAAAACATATTTTTGATGAGAAGCAGTCCACGCCTTCTGAGCAGCTTCCTAAATCTGTTTACTCTGAGGAATATGTTTATGAGTTGGGCAAAGTACAGGAAATCATGACTTGTAGACTGGAAAACTAGCCCAAAAAAAAGTTTTTTCAAGCAAATATGTATTCAGGGGCTGTCCCTATATGAGGGTTTGGGCATGGATGTGCCCATGTGAATGAGGGTAAAAGCCAGGACCCAGGATGTTGGCTTGGATTCTCTCAACTTCTCCAAAAACAGAGATAACTTAAAAACTTTTTTTTTGTGAAATTCTCAAGCATTTCGGTGACATTGTGTACTTCTCTTTTCCCAGACAAGCCAGATCCGCCAGCCGGCACACCTTGCGCCTCTGACATCCGGAGCTCCTCCCTGACGCTGTCTTGGTACGGCTCCTCGTATGATGGGGGCAGTGCTGTCCAGTCCTACAGTGTCGAGATCTGGGACTCAGTGAACAAGTCGTGGAAGGAACTAGCCACGTGCCGCAGCACGTCATTTAATGTCCAGGACCTGCTGCCCGACCTTGAGTACAAATTCCGTGTGCGGGCAATCAATGTGTATGGAACCAGTGAGCCGAGTCAGGAGTCGGAACTTACAACAGTTGGAGAGAAACCAGAAGGTAGGCTGCTCTCGCTTCATTACTGACTTGAAATAAATGTACATGAATTACTTATGTGTGTACTAAGGGGAACCTGGAGGAACTAAGGAAATGGCTATGATGACTGGGAAAGTCTTTTGGGATCTTGATTTCCAAGGTTGTGATACTGCCGTACTAGAAAAGAAGGACATGTGACCTTTCAAAACACTTAAGCCAGCAATTCTGGCACACTGCCCCCAGGGGGTGGTGGTGTGTAATCAGGAGCATGGTCTCCAGGACAGGAACTGAGGTTCCCCCTTCTTCTCTCCTCCCTCCTTTCTATGTGAACAATCAGTGTCAGGTTCTTGGAACACAAAGACAGATAAGAGAGAAGCTTAAAATCTAGCTAGGAAGATAGGCATCTGTGTAGAGACAGCTAGCTAAAGAGATGGAATTATCTTAGTACAGCAGTATAAAGGAAGAGCAAGGACACATGCAGACAGATGAATAATTCTACCATGGAGGTTGAGGAAGCCTTCCTGGAGGAAGTGACACTTTCATTGAGTCCTGGTAAAAGGAATAGGATTTCAAGAGGCAAGGAAGAAAAGAAGAGGCATTCCAAACAGAGGAAGCAGCGTGAGCAAAGGTACAACATAATGGAAATGCAAGCCATTTTCAAAAGCTTATGTGTGGCTAAGGCATATACTGTAAGGCAGAACAGGAGGAAGCAACACTGAATTGGCAGATTAGGTAAAATTATGAAGTTGACCAATGAATTTCAGGCAGGGGATTGCTGTGACTGGATCTAATTTTTTTTTTTTCTAGCAGGAATGGAGGGAAGAGAAGAGGCTTGCTTGTCAAGTGTAGCCTGGCCAGCACCCTGGGGTCCTGAGAGTCTCGACAGACTCTCAGCTCCCCATTCCCTCAATCCCTTCTGACCATTGATTTTAACATGATCCAACCCTGGGGCCCAACCTCTTCGAATTAGTGAGCATATGAAAATTTGAGATGTTCTGGAGTAGAGGAGAGCCCTGAGGCTGGAGACAGCCAGGTACCAGTGGGATACCCATGGCAATCACCCAGGAAAATGAGGGCAAGAACATGAACTAAAGCTTCAGGAGGTAGACCTGACCATTCTTGATGACTTTGGGTAAGGAGTTGAGGGGAAAGGTTAGAAGAGTTTAAAGTGACTCCCAGTTCCTACTCAAATAACTAATGCAAGTTCAATCTCCATTTGGAGGTTTGTGACTGACCGATGGCAGTTAGCAGATACATGCTGACTATATTGGAAGCACTTTACCTGCATCATTTCCTTCATCTTCATAACTCAATGAAGTACATACTGTTATGACCCCATTGTTCAGATAGGGGAAATGAGGCTTAGTGGGGTGAAGCTGCTTGCCTAAGGTTACCATTTGCAATGGTGAGTTGAAGCTTGAACTCAGAGCTGTCTGCCCCAACACCTGTGCACCTTTGGTTAGATTAAGGGTGCAATAAGACTGCCTCCGAGCTTCCTGACTCGGGTGCCTTGGTGGTTAGAAGGCAGGGATTTGGGGGAAGGTTGGAGTTCTGGTTTCAGACCTGCTGAGTTGTTGTGTGTGAGGGAGCTCCCCAGGGAGTCATCTTCAGACTGTTGAACTGTTGTGTCTGGAGCACAGGTGAAAGACTTATGCTAGAGCTACGGATTTGGGACCCTTCACTACTTTGTGGATTATTGATGGACATCAGACAAGTTGATGATAGAGAAAATCAATATTGATAGGGAAACAAAAGAGCCTTTGAGACCAGAAGAAAGGACTGAAAGGGGAGAAAACCCAGAAGAGGCTGGAGTCATGTTGCAGGAATCTAAGGAGTGAGTTGCAAAGAAGACTCAGTGAGCTAAATAAAGATGAAGAGATGAGGACTAGGAAAGATCTCTGGATTTAGCCCTTGGATATGTAGTGACCTTTGAGAGCAGACTATAGAGTTTCCAAAGGGTAGAAAATGGCTGCCCTGGAGTTAAAGAATAAATAGAAGGAAAAACCAGGGGTAGAATATATTGTTTCATGAAGTTTCATGTGAAGAGAAGGGAAAACGTGCTATGAGTTTAAGATGGAGAAAAGACCAGGGCAGAGCAGAAGGTGAGGGACACCAAGAGGACGAGCTCTTGGAGAGAGGAGGGCTCCCAGGTGAGAGGTGGGAGAAGATGGTGGGCGATTAAGAACAGAGGGTTGGACAGGCACAGTTCCTGACAGCACCACCAGGGAGGCATCGTGAGTATGGAAACATCGCAATCGCATACCCCTCTTTTAGTTTTAAAAAGTAGATATAAAATAGACAGTCAAACCTCACACTCTAATTGAATGAGGACTCCAGAAAGAAAGTTAGGAGGATGCCAATGGAAAACACAAATTTGCAATGTTGCTGGTGCAGCACTGTCTTGGGGCCCTCACCCACGGAACCTTAGAAATACAGGAGAGCAGGTCTTGAGAGTTTCAGTGCACGTGGAGGTGTGGCTCGTGCCCTCCCACCCCCAGCTCGGGCCTCCGCATTCATGGCACTCCCGGCCACTGCCACTCACACAAGTCTGGGGTAATAGAGCCGCTGTTGCTTCCCTGCGACATGAGCAGAGTGGGGACATGGGGCAGGAGCCATGCGGCTCTGGACAGGTGGCCTCTCTCTCCTTCCCTGTAGCCCGTTGAACCCATCCAGACTCCCCTCCGAAGGCCCCTCCTGTCTGGGAGCCAACAAAGGGAAATGCTGACATTGCCTGCAATCCCAAGGAAGGGTCCAGGCTGCCCGAGACTTCCAGGGTGGATGCTGCTCCCACCCCCAACCCACCTGGATTATCTACGGGGAGGAAGGGTACAATAGTTGGCAAGCTTTAAGCCTGAGGGGCAGACGAGGGGGCAGGATTCCAAGCTCAGATGCTTGTTAGAAGCCTGGGTAGGTTATCTCTCTCTACTTTGAAAGGGACAGGGCTCTCAGGGAAGCGGGTTGTGTGTTCACACACGTGAGGATGTGTGTAGAAGGAGGGTCCTTTCTCTGGAGCCAGTGGGGTGTGGTGATCATCAAAAAGTCAGTGCTGATTAACTCCCTCCACGAAGCCAGCTCTCCACCAGGGCTCAGCCAGGAAGGTTCTTACCTTCCCTACCACCATTGCCACCTACCTCTCCTACCTCTCCCTCAGCAACTTAGTTTCCAGCCTCATCCTGACTTGTCAGTTCCATCCCTGCTAGCACCCCAGCCTTGTCTCTACTCGTGAACCCACTGTGTCCTGGGCCCCTCCTGTGTTCCAGGCACTTCCCGGGGGATGCAGTGGAGGACAAACACAGAGGTCTCTACTCTGCTCCAGTGGGCCCCTTAAGCCAAAGCCAACCTTCAGGCTAGGTCCCTATCCTGACAGCTCCCCTCCCCATCTTTCCAAACCTGAGGACATGGACCCACTCCCTCCCATCCCAGCCAGGCCTTGAACTCCATTCCCACCTAGTCCTGCTCTAACTCTTAATCTCTATATCCTGGTTCCTGATTTTAATTTGTTCTACTCTATATAGTTTCTAACAAACTGCTGTGATGGAGGCTTCGTGCAGAATTAGGAATTCCTTGCAATTACAAAGCAGTTAGAGACAGAAACTAAAGGGTCCAAGATTAGCAGTTCACCCTGTGCTGGGCTGCCTGCAGGGTCTCTGAGGCCCTATCTGGGGCTGGGGTGCCCTCTAGTGCTCACTGAATGCACAGCAGCCCTCGGTCCATGGTCTGACTAGACATGAGCTATGTCAGGGCCCAAGGGGTCCTCTCCCAGCGCCATTCTAGAGGCGAGACTCGTGTTTGCAGAAACATCAGAACCATCTTCCAAATGGTTCTTCCACTTAGCTCTTGGATTGCATAGCTCTCTGAATAGAAGATTTTTTAAATGCTTCTTTGAAATCCCCCCCTACTGCCATTTAGTGCCTTCTTTAGTGATCACCAGTTTTATCACTTTCACTGTTCTGCGTGACGAGCTGTGGCCTTCCCTCATGCCATTCCTGCTACTCCCCTAGTGGTCATTCCCCTCTCCAAAACACAATGCAGGCAGGACGAGAAGGAAAAGGAAGAAGGCCAACATATCAGCCTGGAACCTTGGTCCAAGTTTCACACACAGGAAGGGTTGCATGTAACAGAGAGTTAAAAAGAGGATCACGAATTCCCTAAGTGATCTGGATTCACAACCGTAGGATCACAAACGAATTCTGCATTTTAACTAAGAAGCGAGGCAGGAGGAGAGAGGTGGGGTGGTGTCTGTGAGGAAGGCAAGGGCACTGGGCCAGTTCTGGAATTGCATGCCCTCTTCAGTGCTAACTAACTGAAAATGGCCCTGCTGCCGGGTCGTTGGGAAGCCCCTCGTGGGCTCACAGGCTGCTACTGCTCTAAGATGCAGCCCAAGAACGTCAGCCTTCCCTTTTTTCTCTCCCCTGCTGTTCTGAACATTGACTTCTTGTCCGCCGTACCAGGAAAACATGGCATGGGAACAAGAAGATAAGGGACGCCTCAGTGGGTCAGACCATTGTCTCGGACGGGGGCACCTGGGTCAGGGGCATGGGGCCTCCTTGCCAGCAATTATCATCATTATAAAAATAATAACAATAATTTTGTCTCTAACACCCAGTCCTGTGACTGGCATCCGTAGGTCCTCAATTAATGATTGGTGAATTGACTTGAATCTCTTGCTTCCCTTAAATGTTTGCTGAATTAACTTAAACGTCTCTTGGGTCTATATACTGTTCCTGTGGTACGCCTTAATATGTGAGTTCTCTATGCCCACAGTCTTCCTCCTTTGTGAGGTATCATACTAAATCGTTCTCTCAAGCGGTGGCATGCATTAGTTCATGAAATCCACAACCCTCAGGCCAGGCGACTATGATTTTTTCAGTCATGGCTGCTTTAGACTTGTTTCCCAACTGGAGAGGCCGATTTTTTTCTGTTCATCTTCACATGGCAACCCCCTCTTTTGATGACCCTCCTGCCCCCTCCAGCACCATCACGGCTCTGACTGCCAGGGCCTCCCAGAGCAGGTGACCCCATTGTCTGCCAAAGACAGAGCAGTGATGCCGTTGGTGGCTGGTGCACATCTCCCAGATGATGACCAGAGCGGGAGGTTGAGCAACTTGCTTGGCTTTTAACTTATTCCCCCAGGGCTCATCACCCCAAATGCTGAGTAAGTTCTGCCTGACACGTGACCCCACGCCTGCCCTCCAGCTACAGTGCCGCAGGCACATGCTGCCTCTGCAGCTCTCACGCACCCCTCTTAGCTCTAAGATAGACGACTTGGAATGTCTGGGTTAGGTTTGCATCCAAGCAATATCTGTGCAACGCCACCACTCGTCTATGAGTACCCATTTACTGCATCCTTTTGTATTTTCCGATGCAGTTTCCTTTCACTGACAAAATGTTCCTCTCATATCAGTTATGTTTAGTTTCTAAAACTAAACTTAGTCAACAGCGTTTTGAAAACTCTAAACAAATCATAGCCTCTTACTCCCAGTCACATGCTTTACCTCCCTTAAAATTGTTATTCAGCAAGAGGTGCTGATTTTGTATGGGAACCATGTTACTTTTTCTCAGATTACTTATGTTTCAGTCATTCATTCCCCTAAGCTAGACTCACTGTATACAAGCTGTCCCTTCTCCCTGACCCACACCTTCTTCACAAACATTCAGCTTGCAAAGCGCTGCAAAGCTCAGCACTCACACTCTATCCCTCTGCCCTTTCTGCTCTTCCTCCTAGGAGATTCCCCCTTCCTTCCTCAGCCTGCTCTGCTGAGAGCATCAGTAAATCACACTCCCTTCTCTCTCTCTCTGTCTCTCTCTCTTTCTCACACACACACACATACACATACACATATGCACACACGCGTGCGCGCGCACGCGCTTTTAAAATTCTTTTCTCCTCTGATTTCTCTCATCATTGTTCTATCTTTTCAGAAGCCTTCCCTTCATTCCATTTGTCTTCAAGCTCATGCAATTCACAAAGCACCACCTCTAGAGCTATCCCCAAAGCCCAGAAATCACTTCCTTTCACATATGAGTAAACTGAGGCCCATAAAGGGAAAGGCACTTAGCCAAGGTCAAGAAGTCATCAGCCCTGTGCGGAGAAACCTATGCTAGAGCAAAGGAAAGCCTGGAGTTCTGAAGTGGCTGTGTCCTGGGGACACCTGCCTGTTCCCTCACGCCCCCACTCACTCCTGACTCATCTGCGTGAGGAGCCAGCGCAGCCTGAGTATGTCCCTCCTCGCAGTACCACAGAGACACCTGTTGTGTGACGTTTCCCACCCCATCATTGTGGTCCATCATTTCCTTGAGGACACAGCTCAAGGCCTGCTTAGTTTGAGGATGACCACTCTGACTGTATGGTTGCCCCATTCTGCATCACCTCCATTCCGTATTCAGTCTGTACAGTGACCTCACGCATTAATCACATGACTGCTGGAATGGATATTTCACCTAGAGTTGACCCTTGGGCAACATGAGCTTGAACTTCCAGGGTTACATGCAGACTTTTTTCTCTCCGTGGCTTCTATATTATATTCATGAATTCAACGAGCCATGGCTGTCGGTCAATTGAATTCTCAGATGTAGAATCTATGGGTCCAGCAGGCCAATTGCAAGTTACAGGTGGATCTTTGACTGTATTACAGGCCAGTGCCCCTAATAACCCCTGCCTTGTTCAAGGATCAGCTGTACATGTTTTTGCTTCTGAGAGAACTTGCCTCTGTGTATTTTGTTTTGTATTCCCCCCAAAACTAACAAGATACTTGGTACACTACTGGAATTCCATTTTGAAAAATTTATACGTGAATAAATGGACTATACCTAGAAGCAATGACAAGTTGCTGACTTTCAAGCCAGAGCAGAGAGTGAGTCATTACAGTTGTCTGTAACTTCTGGGAGTCAGTCTGGGAGAGAAGTGGGGAAGGGTGTGTCTAGGGAACCATGGAGTAGAGAGGACGCAATGGAGGTGGCAGCTGGTGGAGCTGAGAAGCCAGTGCCCATCAGTGTACACACAGGCCTGCTGTGGCACAGATGGACCAACCTCACTGCGGTGCCCAGATCTCTGGGCCCTGTGGTCTCGTGCCTGGGAAGGCTGAGGCCTGGCAAAGCCCCCACATGTTGTGCTCTCAGTGGGCTGTTAGTGCTAATCTCATCTTCTCTGTCCCTGTTTGTCTCCTCCAGAGCTAAAGGATGAAGTGGAGGAAGTGTCAGATGATGGTGAGTGTTAGCAAGCTGTCCTGGGGGGTCTCAAAGGCTGGAGGGGGGTGACCGAGGAGTCTGATGACTCACAGTCACCCCAACTCCCATCCTGCAGATGAGAAAGAACCTGAGGTTGATTACCGGACGGTGACAGTCAACACCGAACAAAAGGTGTCAGACTTCTATGACATCGAGGAGCGACTAGGATCGTAAGTAGACTGGATTGCACCCTCCAGTCCCCCAGGGTAAGGGAGGCGCAGATCCCACAGCATTTTCCTGTCTTTTCCCAGGTTCTGACATTTACTCAGACTGTTTCCTACAGAATCAGGAGGGACTGACCTCAGCACCCCACAAAAGAATTCCCCACCCATGCTCACTTAGCAACTGCTCACGCCAACTGACCCAATTCTGGGACAGCCTTGAGGGAGACCTTCCCTCTCTGTGCCTTATTCTCCCCACATGACCAAACCAAGCTCCTGGTCTGGGTCAGAGTGACTTTAGGCTCCCTGCCATTTGGTCCACAGAGGCAGGGTCCCGTCAGTGTACACCTTCTGCTGTGCTAGCGCCAGTGTGTCAGCCGCCCTTTGGCACCTCAGCACTCACTGTGAACTCTTTGGCTCCTCCTGGGGTGTGAAGGATGCAGTGGGTTCAGACCCCAGCCCTGAGCCCATGTCACAGACAAGCTCTCTGCTTCCACTAACTTTCTCCCTTGAGTAGTATAGCAGATGGGAGAAAAAGGCACAGGCCTCAGCATTCATGCCCAGTGGGTTCCTGGGAACTAAAGGAATAATGCCAACCTCATAACAACTCTGTGAACAGAGCCTGCTCTTCGGTGAGCCTTGTGTCAGAGGGACAAAGCTCTCCTCAACCCATAGCGGGACGTTGAGTCCTTCCTGAGCTGACCCTGAAGGTCAGCGCTGGGCAGTGGAGGGGAAGGAAGACAACCACTCATTATCTGTCTTAGCTTCCAGGAGGACTTCTTCAACTGAACTTCATGGGTCCTTCTGTGAGGAAGGAGAGAGAAGCCAGTCAGCCAGGATTGGGGCATCAGCCCAGGGAGATGAGGGTCTGGAGAAACAGTAAGACCAGACAGTGCTGGGGGACGCAGGCAGACACAGGCTGGAGTTGACAAGTGATGGAAAAAGTATTTGTCAGTATCAGAAATGTGCTTCATTCATCTAGAGCACAGCACAGATTTTATCAGTGCAGGTCCAGAGCAATGATATTCTAAGTTTTATTGCATATGGTCTCTGCAACTACTATTCTGCTATTGAAACACAAAAGCAGTCCTAAACAATCCGAAAACAAATGACTATGTCTATGTGCCAATAAAACTTTATTATCACAAGAGGCCATTTGCTAATCCTAATTTAGTGAAAAATTCGGGCTAAATTTGCCTTTCTCCTCTCCCTTTCATTTGCAGTGGGAAATTTGGACAGGTCTTTCGACTTGTAGAAAAGAAAACTAGAAAAATCTGGGCAGGGAAATTCTTCAAGGCATATTCAGCAAAAGAGAAAGAAGCTATCCGAGATGAGATCAGCATCATGAACTGCCTCCACCACCCCAAGCTGGTCCAGTGTGTGGATGCCTTCGAAGAAAAGGCCAACATCGTCATGGTCCTGGAGATGTGAGTGGCCCGCTGCTGAGCAGCCAAGCTCGGTGGGCCTGGTAGCCCACATGCCTCTCCCTCACTATCCCTCCCTGCCCCCTCCATCCTGAGATGGAGAGCCCTACAGACGCAGCATGGTCTACACGACCCCTGGCAGCCCCTGTGGCCTGGGGCTGACCACGCAGAGCAGCCAGCACATCTATGCATAGCATGGTCCACTTACCACTGGGATGGCTGTAACAAACTAGCAGAATTTTGGGGATCCTTGCCCTCTTTTCACCCTCACCCATGAAAAGGTCAAGGTTATTTCTAGTCTCCTTGGTTTCATTTAGGGGCACTCTGAAATGGCTTTGGAGCAGAAGGGGGAAGACCAAGAAATTTTCCAATAGCCTGAGAAAAAGAAGGGGCCCAGGGGGCTGGGAACTGGGAAGGCAGAAGTGTGCCCTTTGGTATCCACCTGAGCTCCCAACACACTTCTCTGTGCTCTTGACTTCTCATTCACCAAAACCAAAGAGGAGCAATTTCTGTGCTGGGTTGTACAAAGGCAGGGGGCTGGATCAAATGACCTCTGGGCAAGGCTTTCCTAGAATGCATTGTTTCCTCTAGTCCCAACCGCCCCACCACCCCTTGCACCTCTGAGCAGCTAAAACACACCCACACTGGTATGTGTGCACACACACATGCACACATACAAGTATATACAGAAACATACATGTTTGCTTTGCTAAGACTGCATCCTCTTCAATGTCCATATTTTTAAAGTTTCTTTCATTTTTAAGTCTGAACTTTTTGAATATATGATAAAAATCACATCAAAAAATATAAGAAAGTACACCATGTGGGGGTCCCATCCCAACCCTGCCCCCCATCTACCCTATCTCTACCCTCCTTCCCCCACATGTAAGTAACTTGTTTCTTGTTTTGTCTGTATCCTTACAAAGTTTCTTTATGGAATAAATAACATATATAGCCCACAGTAGCCCTGTGGACTGCAACTTTTCACATTTATTCTAGAACAAGTTGCTTGGTCCGGGCCATGTGGGCATGTGAGGACATGTGAGAAATGTTTTATCCTTAGATGCTGTTAAACCTTGAGGAAGTTTACGATACATGATGTGTGTGTGTCATTTTCCACCCTTTAACAATAAGGTAACTTTTTTTTTAATTGTATTATTTTTATTGAGCTGACAGTTTACAGCACTGCCAGTGATTTTAGGAGATAGGTCCACACCTCTTCTGATGGATGTAAGCACACCACCCCCCCCGCTCCAAAGCCCCCAGAGTCCTCCACTACAGTCCGGTAGGCCTCCTTCCTGCTTCAGAAGGAACTTGTACTCATTATTCTATACTTCGCTTTTTTCTTTCACTTGGAGATAGTCCCTTGTCAGCAGCTGGTGAGTATCCTCATTCTCCAGGCTCTACGGGGCTTCATCTCTCGCCAGTTCCACAGTTGAGAGAAGTAGTCTTCTTCTGCTGAGTCACGTGGTTTCCAAACTTCTGCTTTTACAATCACTGTTTACAACCTTGTATGTACATCATCTTTTCACTCATGCCTGTATACATCTGTCACATGAACCCCCAGAAGCATGGGAGTGCTGGATGAAAGGGTATGTGCATTTAAAATTTTTAGAGATAGTATGAAATCGACGTGGGTGCCCTAGAATTGCTCGCCCTGGGCCTAGGACTCTCAATTCTTTGGAGAGGACTCTAAGAACACCTTGGCATGCTTTCCCAAGAAAGGTGGGACCAGGCTTGAAGTAGGAATGGGGAATTAACCTTTTCTCTCCTTTCACCCTGCGGATGTTTCAGGGTGCTTTCTTCTCACTGCTATTTCTGAAGGAATAGCAGAGCTGAGATTTGGGTTTGATGAGCCTCCCTTGAATCTTCTTTCTGCCCTTATCTGGCAGGCAACCTTGAATAAGTTATTCAACTGTGCCAATCCAGAGTTTTATTATCTATGAAAAGAGGATACGAACCTCCTCGTGAATGCTGTGGGGCTTAACTAGAGCACAGTGCTCTATAATTGGGGCTATTCTTAGTAATAAGATGCATTGAATTTTTCTGTACCCTGCTCTTTTTTCCACTTAGAATTATTTTGTGAGCATTTTAACACCCATTTATGTGTTAGAGAACAAATCCTACTGTTCAGGTTTGGTGTTCTAAGTTAAGTTCTATTCCTGCTGAGCTCTGCTTTTGTGATTGTCAAGTCCTTCCAGTGAGAAGAGGTATTTGGATTAGACTCTCCTGTTAGTGGAACTCTCCAAGAGTCACAGAAAATCTTCATTCAAATCTGGGAATATATTTTCAGCTCCAGATTCAAACTTAGCTCCCCACTTTCAGAAAAGGTCTAGGCCATGCCTGTGGCTTCACTCACCGTGTCCTCACAATGGCCCTGTGGGCTGCAACTTTTCACACTTATTCTAGAACAAGTTCCTTGGTCCAGGCAGTGTGGGCATGTGAGGACATGTGAAGAAATGTATTATCTTGAGATGTTAAACCTTGAGCAAGTTCGTGAGAAGATACAGGGAGGGGGAAGGAGGCAGCCAAGCCTGGGTAAGGCCGGCAGCAGCACCAGTGGGCAGAATACCATACTTAGCTTGGAATTGGGAGTTGGCAAGCTGGATGGAAAATGTTGGGAGGAAACTTAAGGCTTCAGCTGGTCTGGCTTTCATCCCTCCACCCCCCCCCACACCTCCCCCATGGACAGGAGCAAGTCTTACTCAGGCAGATGCCCGAGGATTCGCCTGCACTCGGGCTAAGGACCATGCAACTTGACAGGAGCCCAGGCAGAGAAGAGGAAGCAGATTCATACTCAGGCTGTACTTCCCTTCCAGATGAAAGGAGTCTATCTCTGAGAGGGGTGAGGTTCGGCAGTACAGTTTGCTTTTTTGTTCATTGGATGGAAAAACTGAGTAGTACCTGGTAATAGAGAAAAATGAAAATGAAATCCTAGTTTCCAACTTTCAGTTCAGTTGCCTCAGACATAGTAAGATCAGAATGAACAAACCAGCCTTTCTGACCTCTGATGATGGGACAAGTGTCCACCACCATGGCGGTGTTGCTCTGAGACCTGGGTCCAGGCTCCTGGCCTGGAGTCTGGGCTTATCTTCTTGGGAGTGTTTGGGACATTCCAAGTGGTACTTGGACCTGAGCACTGAAACACATGTGCAGGTAACTCAGAGTCTCACGACCCACCTCACCTTGTGCTGCCACTGGCAACAATGGTCAAAGAACTTGCAACTAATCATATGACAAGGAGTGCAGGTGTATTGGGTACCCATGAGGTCTACAGTTTCAGTGATAAATTTGATCCCTTGGGATAAGCTAATCTTGGTGGTAGGTATTAACTTATTCACTCATTTACTCACTGACAATTTATCAAGCACACGTTTCCTCTGGCCCAATCTTGGCCCTTGACATTATCCTACCTTTCCATCAAACCAATACTTTGTACTCATAGTCTTGAGCATTTTGAGAAAAACCTATGGAACCATTAATCCTGTTTGTGTGACTCCTTCCATCCTAGAAAATAACCACAGAAACAGTTTTCTAAATATATTAAGTCTATTTGAATGGGTTTGAATCTATATTGAATAAGTCACTAGAAATGCAGCCGTAATTACCTCCATGACTCACATTTCTACCTTTCATTGCCTCAGACATTCCAAGGGCAAATAAAGGTTACTTGCTCTTCCAGAATATTTATGTTTAAAAGCAAATGTCTCGGGGCACCTCGTCAGTTGCCAGGTATAAATAGGGTCTAGAGATCAGCCAGACCTCTTTCAGACACATTCACAAACAAGTTGAAGACAAGGCAAACTTGGTACAAAAAAAATGCAGAGACAAGACTATGGAAACCCAGTGAGGGAAAGATCATTTCACATGGGGAAATCCAGAGTGATTTCTCAAAGAACGAGAATTTCAGGTGCCGTCCCAAGGGTGGTGATTGAGTAAGTCAGAATTTCTCAAATATGTCTGATGATAAGAATGACTTGGGGGTTTCTTACTAAAAAATGTTTCCTCAGATCTCCCCCATGATTTCCTAAATAAACCCTTCAGGGGAGAAGCTCAGGAGTCTATACATTCAACAAGAGCCCCAACTGATTCTTTTTGTTCAAAACGGTTGACCATTCCTCTGAATAATACAAACCAATGTTATCACAATAAAAATTAGCACAGTAAAACAAACAAGCCGATAACAAACACTGAGCGCCTACTATGTGCCAGGCACTCTTCTCAGCACTCTACTAGTCTCCATAGCAACCCTGTGAGGTGGTGTTGGCTTTATGGACATGTTACAGATGAGGAAATTGAAGGATGGAGATGTTAAGAATTACCTGAGACCTGAGAACAGTGATTATAGAGTTTGATTTGGAGCCTTGGTGGAGAGGGCTTGAGGACAGAGGCGCCACCTGCTGGCCATCTGGCAGCCTCCTCGGGTTGTTTCTGAAGCGTCACTTCCATCGCCCCCTAGCGGCCACTGACATAGACTGACCTTGCTCAGGTCAACCTTTCCAGAAGTGAAAGCATTAGCCAAATGTGGAGCTAGACAGAGACTGGTGTGCTGGGCCCCACAGCGCACCCCTTATTGTCTCTTGTCATTGGGTCAGTGACAAGACCCACTTAGCCTGCCAGCCATAGTCGAACATTATTAATATGTGCTGAGCAGCCTACTGGGTACCAGGTGTGATTCTTTACAGAAGCTTCTTTATTCCTAGCTCTATGAGGTAGGGGCAGATATAAGGAAACTGGGACTCAGAGAGGTTAACTTGTCTAGCTCACACAGTTTGTTGAGCTCAGCTCTTTTCCTTCATCATGATGACTCCCCTTAGAAGAGGACTGGCCCAGTATGAAGGCCACCCAGCCTTATGCAGCTGGCAGACCTGCAGGCCATTGTAGAAAAGAGTTCACTCACATCTGGATGTTACATAGGTTACCAAAGAGATGCTTTAAACTTTCTGAGTGGAGAGCAAGGAAGGTGGGTTTGAGGGCTGGGACAGGGGAGCAGAGAAGACCCATGTGACTCAGACAGCAAGTCTTTGTGTTTGCACTAAAGGGCAATATGCCAGCTGGCTGAAGTTCCTGGGGCAGTCCTTAGCAGGAGATGCCTGCTGTGGGCCCCAGAAACACTGTGGCCAGGATCCAGAGTCTGTTAGGAAGGATGTGCTACACTTCTAGCCTGGGCAAGGAAGCAAGAGAGACAAGTTAGTTATGGCTGGAAGGAGTAAACTGATACTATAGGTCTAGCCAGAATAAATAAATCTATCACTAGGGCAAGTGTGATGGGTTACAGCCAATGAATTTTAGAAATTTTGCTGACACTCATTATTGAGGATTTTTTTCTTGTGCCTGCCTCTGCCAAACAAGTGCCTATGGTACTATGAATGATTTAAGCTTCGGTTTCCTAAAAGACATGTGCATGTAGAGTGCAGGAAGAATCTCCCTTACACACATATGGCCATTTGGGGAAAGGAGACTGCCCAGCAGTTACCCTTTTGCTAAGGAGATCAAGTCTGGATCTCTCAGTCCATGACAGCTTCTGCAACTGCCCAGCCTGAGTGCTCCCCCTAAATATCTCAACAACTTTTGGTGTCTGCCGGGCAGGGTTCTCCAAGCAGGAAAACAGCAGGCCTAGGCCCCTCTCACTCAGAAGACTGGGACCAGTGTAACAGGGTAGTGCCCTGGGACTCAGGAAGCTACAAAAAGTGTCCAGCACCCCCAGACCCTGGACTTTCCTGACAGTCTCCCCCGTCTCCCCAGCCTGCCTTGAGCAGCCTCCCTGCCAACTGGGCGGTGGAATCCTGTGGTCTGATGGCCCCCTCTGTCCCCGCAGCGTGTCGGGGGGCGAGCTGTTCGAGCGCATCATCGACGAGGACTTCGAGCTGACGGAGCGTGAGTGCATCAAGTACATGAAGCAGATCTCGGAGGGCGTGGAGTACATCCACAAGCAGGGCATTGTCCACCTGGACCTCAAGCCTGAGAACATCATGTGCGTCAATAAGACAGGGACCAGGATCAAGCTCATCGACTTTGGTCTGGCCAGAAGGCTCGGTAAGGCCAACTACCTCTCCTGATGTCAGTGTGGGGGGTTCATGCTGTTTTTAGTCCACACTCGATATTAGAAGGCATGTGTTGAAGTTAATGTCAGAAACCACGGAGACGACTCAGGCTCAAGTTCTGACCAGGTCAGTGCGTGATGAGCTATAAGCCCCAAGTTCCTTCCTTACCTGTAAAGTGGGGTCACAGTCGTACTTACTCTGTAGCTGTTAAGGGAATCAATGAGTTAATAGTTAATAGAGAGGTCAGAAGAGTGCCTTGCACACAGTGAGCACTAGTGCCTTGCACACAGTGAGCACACAGTGAGCACTAGATAGGCATTTGCTCTTCATTTTTTTTATTATCACCATCTTCTCTGATACCTTTAGCAGCAGAATTGTTTTGGTGCTGGTGGCTCCCCACCTGTGCATTGTACTGTAGTGTCCAGAGCATGTTCATGGCTTTCTTCCATTTGATTCTCAGAGCAGCCTTATGGGGTCAGTGGGGAAGATTGAACCCAATTTACAGATTCAAGAAACCAAGGTTCGCAGTAGCTTTACCCACCAGGTACCACCATGAACCAGGGAGATGCTGGGCCTGGAGTGAAGATCCCAGAGAGAGTCCAGGGTTCTCTAAAGCTCTCTGTCCCTGGTGGGAGCCATGGGTGGGGCAAGACAGCGAGGCCTTTGTTCCAGCCCTGAAGTCACTTTGGTGGGTGACTGTCTGCCTCGCACACACCTATGTCCCATGGGCCTGCATACTCTTAGATGTCTCTGTAATTGAGGAAACAAGTTCATCCTCTCTACCTCCTGGCCACCTCCCTAGGGCTAAGGCGAGCCTGCCTGAGGGGAACTGGTGCTACCAGGTAAATCTTCCAGGATACCCAGCCATAAAGAAGAAGGTGAGGACTTGAGGTCCTCATGACTGTGACCTGCCTGGCGGTCAGAACTCCATGCTGGTGGATGTGCCTGCTCTGCTTTCTCCTGCTGAAGGCCCAGTGTGGGGGGCTGGGGTCCATTACATGCCTTTGGGCAAGAACCACCTATAATTTAAGCGAAAAGGGAGCTAAGGGCCCAGGAGCTGGCAGTGTCAGAGTCTCAGGCACACACCAGGCAGCGTCCCTGGTGAGGAGATATTGTGGGGACAGTGATATCCACACAGGCCCAGACCTGGGAAGGTTTAACATTTAGCAGGAAGGGTTCTGGTTGGATCAGAGCAGGTCCTGAGGGCTGTGAACTGCTTCAGTTTAGAATACTTGCTGTGAGCTGTGTACTTCCAAAGGCCAGATGTGGCCCACAGGCCAAAGGTTTGCCTCCCCCACTGCCAAAGAGACTCTGGGAGCTGGTGCCTTTTTTCGTGCATCCTACCAGGCATCTGGCCCTTCAAGGCTTAAAGGCACCACCTTAAGGTTAAGATTTTTCCTGACTATCTTGACAGTTTCTTGGGGGAGAGATGTGTGGAATTTGGGGAGAGGACCATGTAGGTTTAGGTCCTGGACCCCACTTGGTGAGCAAATTACTTCCTTTTCCTGGGCCTCCTCTCCCTCAGAAGGGGGTCATACCTCCCTCTTTGGGTTATTGCAAGTGTTAAGTAGGAAAGTCCTGATAGAGCAGGTAGCGGGGGTGCACAGGACAGAGTGGACATCATCAAGCACAAGTCACATCCCTGCCCAAGGGAGGGTGGGAGAGACTGGCATGGGAAATGACCACTTGGGGTACCGGCTTTAATGCCTTCCCCCCTCCCATCCCACTCAGGACTTTTAAGATAAGGGTGCAGTTTGCAGGTTTCACTGGTGGGGCCCGTACTTGCTTCACGAGGAGGTGGGTGTCTCTGCCTCCTCGGAGGACAGAGCATCCAAGGCTCGGTCCTTGTCTGTGTCCCACCCAGATTGGGCACAGTGCACAGATTGAGGGAGCCACTTGCCTGGCTCATGGAGGTTCTGGTGGCTGATCCCTCTCCCTTCTGATTACAGAGAATGCAGGGTCTCTAAAGGTTCTCTTTGGCACCCCGGAATTTGTTGCACCTGAAGTGATCAACTATGAGCCCATCAGCTATGCCACCGACATGTGGAGCATCGGGGTCATCTGCTACATCCTGTGAGTCTCAGGGTACACGGGGGGCAGTGGAAGAAAGGCCCAAGGAGGGTCCCCAAGCTGTCCTCCTTTTGAAGGGACCAGGATAAGTTGTGATGGGGAGCCCGGGGTGCAGGGGAGACACCAGGTCTTGAGAAGCAGTGTTTGGTCAGCTTGCTCTGTTCAGATCCAGCTGTGTGTGGCCTGGCTTGATCCCTGGGTCCTTCTGCAGCCTCCAGGGAGGCTTGCCTCTCTGTTTTCAGCTGGTTTTCTCACTGCCACACGGCCATGATTTTCACGTCAGCTCCTGATGATCCTCAGGACGAACTTGAGAGTAGGGTGTACAGGGCCTTCTTTTTCATCTGATGTCAAGGGCACAGGCCCAGAACGTCCTGGCTGCCTACTTCCCACAGTCCAAGAGGGAGGGCAACCAGCCTTCCCAATTCACCCAGGACAGACAGGACTTTCGGTGCTGGAATGAGGACAGTCCTGAGCAGACTAGGGCCATGGTTCTCTCTATGGGCCAGAGGCTGCGCTGTGACTTATATGCTCAGTACATTTTCACAGTCAACATACCCTATCACAGGTGAAACGTAACCTATATCCATGAGAAAATGGCACTCTGCTAAGGACCCCACAGCCCTCCTCGTGCCCCTCCTATCTGCTGTCCCCCCCAGAAGTAATCATTATGCTTTTGTCTAATGTCATGCATTAGTTTTTCCTATTTTTAAACTTTGTATAAATGAAATGATACAGAAGAAAGTAACTGGCTTCTTTTGTTCAACATTGTTCATGTGACTCATTTAAATTATTTTGAGTAGTTGTAGATTGTTGACTCTCAGTGCTGTATAGTATTTCCCTGTGTCAACATCAATTTATTCAACCATTCTATGTTGATGGACTTTTGAGTAGATTCCAGTTTAGGGTATTACAAATATTTTGATACATGTGTTTTATGGATATATTTATACATTTCTGTTGCATATATAATACAGAGTTAGAATTACCAACTCATAAGAGCATTTTATTTTAAAATGAAAATTGTTTTAACTGGAGAAATGTAGTCATTTGGATAATGTGGTAGGTTGTTTATTAGATTACTTTTAAAGCTAAAACCAAGAAATAGGGAGGAGCTTTTTGAAATAATTTCAATGACTAGGGCAGCAGCCTGAAGGTGTTTGGGCAGGGGGATGCCCCGAGTTAGGAGGTCACATGGCAGGGAGGCAGGAGACCAGTGGGCATGATGGATAAGGGTCAGCCCTGCGCAGCCTCCCCAGTGTCCTGGTTCCTAGACCCACCACTGTGGGCTGCTTTGCCCTCTGGGAGTTTTCCAGATTGTTTCTCATTGCGGGGATGAGAAACATCCCAGCTAGTGCTTGTGGTGCCAAAAGCGAAAAATTAGAGCCAGCCAGATTGCTTCCTTTCCAGCGGCTATGTCAGTTCTGGAGCTGCTGCCGGAAGCCCCAGAAGTAGCTTCCCTAGCCACCGCCCTTAGGGAAGCTGTTTGGGGCTGATGGTTGTCAGCCTGGGGCCATTGAAAAAAGGAGCATTCAGAGAGTTGGGGCAGGTGATCACTCATTGATTATTCAACATATGTTCCTGGAACGCCACCAGAGTGAGAAGCTCTGTCCCTGTAGGTGGGACAGGGCAGTCTGCCTCCTTTTCTGACACCTGCTTCCCCCTTTTACCTCCCCCCCCCCTATTTCCTGAGGACTTGGTGTTCCCTGACTTCCTTTGGGGACTCCAAACCCTTCTTTGTGCCCTGCCCTCAACTCTACTTCCCCTCTTTCTTTTCTCTTTCCCCCTTCCCCATCCACAGTAAACAGCAATTACTGTTCAGCCTTTCTGACTGGGCCCAGTGCCATAGATTTCCCATTTGGTTCAGGTGTTGAGCCCCTATCATGGTCCAGAGTGCTGGGTTAGTCCCCATCCTGAGTCTAACTTCTGGGGACAGTAGAGAAGGACCTTCTCGTACCTAGTTTGCATGCAGGGCTCTTCAGATCAGTAGCCCCCCCAAGGGCTGCCCTGCCAGCTCCACCCCTGAACACAAGCGTTATCACCTGATCCAGCTCCAGCGCCTCACCCCACACCAGGCCAGCCACCACCCGCAGGTTTTGCTTTCCAGGGACTTGGGCTGTGGTTAGCATGATGAAGCCCCAGGACTCTGCTCCCTGGATCACTGCACAAAATGACACCCAGTTTTTCCTGTCAGACCCTCACCCAACCCTGTCACATCTTCCCACCCTAGCATCAAATGAGTATCTGAGGCTAAAGGGATAAAATCCTAACCCATTCCTAAGCACCCAGTGGTTCTGCTCAGAGATATGTGGTCCCCTTAGCTCATTTTTCATGCAGCTGGGTCTTTGGCTGCTGACAAAACACTGTGAAACATTGTTTCCTGATATTCAAGCCCGAGCAGGCCATGCCTTTATATCCAATTTCCTGGGCGAGGTTTTGCAGTTAAAGATTACAAATTAAGAAATTATAATACCTTGCAGTCATTACATTTGTGACTCATCAGGACAAAGACTAGTATTTGACCATGGAAAATCAACAAGAACACTCTACACACCAAGTGTCAAGTGAAGAAAAAGTAAAGTATCTAGGAACTTGCCCACACCAATACAATTTTGCGAAAACCAGATAAATCCATTAGTTATGTTGGAGAGGGGGGAAAAGCCTTCCTCTACTCCCTTAAATTCAGTGAAATTGGGGGCCTGCAAATCAAGCTGACAAGAGACAGATTAACACTAGAAAAGAAAACAGATTCAATCATACGCCCATGTGTAGGAGTTCACAAAGAGAGATAGCATTCCGGGCTTATATGCTATTTTAGCAAAGAGCTATGAATTGTAGAGAAGGAACTAGATAAAGGAAAAAGGGGTTAGCACTTCTGGGGCGTAAATTATAAGAAGGTGGTTGGGAAGTATGTGATACAGAAGGGTGGTTTCATAGGCTTTGTTATGCAGATAAGAATCTTTCCTCTTCCTGGCTATGGAGAAGGGAACATTCTTTGTTGTTTTTTATTTTGTTTTAATTGAGGTAACATTGGCTCACAACACTGTATGTGATTATTCTGAAGCAAAGGATCACACCTCCTCAAATGCATGCCCCCACACCACACTCCCAACCAAGGCAGCATAATCTTCCACCTTAGTCCTGGTCCCCTTCTTTTTTTCCCCTTCCACCTCCCAGTCTGTAGCCTCAATTCCACAGTCAGATTTCATCCAGTATTTGTGTTGGAGAGGGAAACACTTTTACAAATGGAAATGTATGCCACCTTAACAAAGACAAATTTATGCCCTGCTTTTATACAGAAAGAGTTAGGACAGATCAATAATCACAGTCCTTGCTCAAAACAGTCTCAGCTCAAAACAGTCCTTGTACCAAAATGGCATAATTTGGAGTGGCATACTCTGATCCCATTCAATTCAAAACTAGAAAAAAGTAGGAAGAAAGGTGAGAGGTGAGTAGTTTAATGCTCAGGCTACTATCTCTGTTGATTGGATTGATTTTTTTTTTTATAAAAAGACAAATGATCCTTATATAAATTCTAGCAGTAAAGAATAAGCCCTCCCCTCCAAAAGATTTTACAAAATCCCACCACCCAGTAACAAAAATTACTAAAATCTGAACACTCTCTTTATCATCCTGCTCTGCAGACATTCCAAGTTTAATTTAGAGACACACTGGTTTACAGGGACTGTTGGGGGAGCTCCTGCAGGCAAGTTGCCAGCTGGGGCTCAGAGGGTATTTCAGATGGATGGGCTGCCAGGAAGGAGGAGAGCCAGAGGCCAGAGGCGAGGAGACTCTCCCCGACTGTGAACATTACAGAGATTAAGCCCTATCTTTGCAGGATTACAGTTCCTAATTAGGAAAGGAGGTTTACAGAGGGGACCTGACAGCATTCCACAGCAGGACTGTTTGCTTTTCCTGCAATCTTCTGCAGTTCTGGGGACTTTCTCCCTCTGTTTCAAATGGAAAATGAAAAGACAGAAGAAAGCAGGTAGCTGACAAGCAAAGTCAGGCTGCTTCTTCATAGACCACACAGGATTGTAGAGACAAGGAACGCAGGGAGGCCCCTAGGAATTCTAGCCCAGTACCTGTGGTTGATAAAAGGGGAGACAGACACCCAGAAAGGGGAAAGGAGTAGCATGTAATTGTGCAGGCTTCCTTCCCTCATTGTGATGTGGCTGAGAATGATTATCCCGTACTTTCTTAAAGTATAAATCAGTGGCTTGCTAGAAGATGCTCTAACGCCATCCACATTCTATTATTCAAAAATACAAATATGTTGATTAGGGAGCGGATTATGTTACATTGTAAACCTTCATCAAAATCATTCACTTTGCCAAAAATTCCCTTTCTTCTCTTTACAAAAGGTTATACCATGGCAAATTTTTCTCAAAATTTGTTTTATGAAACTTAGTTTTCAGGTACCTCCTAAGCTGAGGTGTCTTCAGTGCCAAATCAGCTCCAGAAGAGTTTGTGTTATTGCTGTTGACGATGGAGTCATAAGAATGTGGGGAAAGGAATGTCAGTGGAGCCTCAACTTGGGAGGTTGATGGGGTCAGGGAAGGACTGCCTACATAATTTTGGGGGCCCAAAACAAAAGAAAAAGGTAGGGTGACTTATTCAAACATCATTATGAATTTCCAGACAATGGCAGCAGAGCATTAAGCCATGAGTAGGCTCCTTCCAAGGGTGGGACTCGTGCTGTTGCCAGGCCTCTCACCCATGAGGTTGGCCCTAGGTCAGGGTGCTGGTGGGTGGCTGGCTGGTGTGAGGATGAGGTGTACAAAGGTCAGAGGTAAGGCCAGTGAAGCCAATCTGTCCTATTCTTCTTTGAGACACTTTACCATCCCAAATTTATTTGGCTTTAACTACTGGCAAATGCATTATTCTTAAGGTCAGAAATAGGTAAGGCTGTGGGATGATCCAGAAGAACCGTGTAGTATCTCTGGTCATGGGTCCCTCTTATTGTGGGCAGGTCCTAATTCTGGGGATGAACCCCACATCATCACCCAAATGTCATGTCAAGTAAGTTAAGATACAGGCTCTCGGGCCCAACCCCTGGGTGTAAATCTCTGACTGTGGGTCCTTTGCAAGTTACTTAACCCCACTCTGTCTTTCAGTTTCCTTATCTGTTCAACAAGATAATGAGTTCCCTGCATCACAGGGTAGTGTTAACATAATGGGTTCATCTAGTTTAAGCTCTTTCCCCGGTGTCTGACACAAAGTAAAGTTTGATAAATGTTTATTGTCATGATGATGATGTTGGGGAAGGAGGAGGAGTAGAAAGAGAAGGCCAAGCAGAAAAATCAGCGACCACTCCATATTTAAGCAGTAGGTTCTCCATTTTATAGACACAGAGATCAGGGAAGTTGTCCAACGTGACCCAGTGAGAGGACAGGTTGTGTGCTTTCCCCCACTGTGGCACCTCTTGGGAAGGCTTTCTGGTTTGGCCTAAATGCCTCAGATGCACTGAAGTCAAGTGTGTATGAGTTACCACCTTTCTGATGCAGAGTCTTCACACACAAACTTGCTGAGCTCCCGGAACTGGGCTTTCTTGTTGGTGCTAAGGGTAAAAGATGAAAAATGGAGAGTGCTGGGACTGATGGGTGCAGTGAAGAGTGTTGTACCCTACAACTGTCCATGGGATAGGAAATGACTCCTCTACCTGGGGACTTTGGAGAAAATTCTGGAGGGCAGAGGTCCAGCCTGGGCTTTGGAAAGAAACCACAGAGGGAGGGCCCCTGCTGTGTACCGTGTAGTAGTCCTAACCTAGTAAACTCCTTCTGCCTCAGCCTTACCTCAGGTGGCATCAAGAGGCAGGGAGAGACACCCCAAACATTCAATGAGTGACTGAAAGGAGGCCACAAAACCCCTAGGGAACCATTCCCTCTCTTCTTTCTGAGTAGGAAGAGAAGCAGGTGCTGGGGAGTTTGGTGGTGTGGGACCTTGCCAGCCCTCAACTTTGACTCAGTTAGCACTCCCTTGAGGGGGCATCCCACCCTGCCCTCCTGCCAACCTCCCTCATTCACCCTGCTCTCCTACTCTTATCTCCTCAGAGTCAGTGGACTTTCCCCTTTCATGGGTGACAACGATAACGAAACCTTAGCCAACGTTACCTCAGCGACCTGGGATTTTGACGACGAGGCATTTGATGAAATCTCCGATGATGCCAAGGATTTCATCAGCAGTTTACTGAAGAAAGATATGAAGTAATGAAATTTCAGTCTTTTCCATTTCCCCACTCCCTGGACTGGTGTCCAGAGACAGGGTTTCCTCTGCCTGCCACAGCTCCCTCACCTGAGGAGGGGAGGGTGGGTGTTGTGAGTAGGGGAGAGGTCTTCCAGGGCCCCTGCTCTCTCGTGCCAGATGCTCTGCTCATCTCTAGAAGCACAGAAACCTCTCTTGAGAAGCAACGCCTGATGGAGTGTTATAGGGAATGAGGCAGCCCTGAGTAATGTTTTCTTTTCTGTGTACAATGTGACCTGTAGAAACCCAGCTAAAGGCTCAGTGCCTCTTTTGGAATTTCAGGGAAAGTATACCATTTGTGGATCCTGACCATATCCCCAGACTACTCTGCCTTGATGTTGTTGTTGTTTCATATATCTAAATTAATTAAGAACTGCCTGCCTGGATGTGGCGGACGCCTTCTACTACGGCCAAAGTTAGGCTGAGATCCTGGCTGACTGGACTCCTGCCTCTGCCTGCTTTGTCTCTGTCCTCCCAACAGTACAGACTGAGAGGTTCCCCACCTCCACCTTCTGGGGCTGCTTATAGTGAAAAAATACTTAAAACAGTCATGGACAGAGGAAGGCCTGTGTGTTCAGGTGTGTGGACAGCCTGGTCAGGCACATACTAAGTATTTCAGTGACAGAAGGATGGAGCTTGGAATTGTAGTGGAGATGAAGGCGAGAAAGTGAGGTTGAAGACACCTTGAATGTGACTAGACAGAGTTTGCTGCTGAGGACTTTCCTGGTAAGGGGAACCAGCTAAATAAAAGCAGAAAGGTGAGGGCCTTGTGTGTAGGGAGAGATGCCTGCTCAGGGTAGGGGTAGGGAAAATGTCAGGTGAGAGCAGTTGGCTCATCAGGGACCTGTAAACAAGTGGTCAGAGGAGGCAGGGTCCAGCTCCACAGGCCTGGAGGAGTTGCATGTGGCAATAAGAAGTCAGAAGCTTTGCCCAAGGAGGGTGGTGTTGAAATTGGGGGTGAGCCAGAGGGTAAGAAGGTGAGGGTCAGGCCAGAGGCTCTGCAATGGCCAGAGAACTTCACAGCCTAGGTTCTGCTTGTCTGCCTGGGTCCCAGGGCTCCCTGAGGCTGCAGGTCACCTGGTTTCCCTCTGGGAAAGGAGAGCCAAGTTGCCAAAGGAGCAATGTTAAAGGGCTTCTCAGATGGTTCTGCCTGGTTTTCTGCTTACCTAACCACCTCTTGGCCCTTGTAAGCCATCTCAGGGCCACGGTCCTCCAAAGGCTGCATTCCATACTCCTTGCTGGTGAGGTCTTTTAGAATCTTGCTGTCCCAGTCTTTGTATCAATAGGGAGGACCCAAGGAGTATCTAGATTCCCTAACAATTTGAAGAATCCTTGTATCCAAGGTGCCTCAGGAAGATGCATACCCCTTTTCTAATAATTCTTTTCCAGGAATGTCTTTTATCAACCACACTTCACTCACCAAAGATTTGGTAAATGAGGAATTGTGTGTACACTCTAATTTTCATCTAACCTTAAACTAGCTCAATAATGTGCTATGTTGGCCCCTCTACTCTCATAAAATGGTCTGATTCCAAGTATATCAAGACTCTAGATTCCCATAAACTCTTAAACTCAGCATCTCTTCAACTAGAAATCTCTATCTATCAGCACTTTCTTAAGTGTTTTTCTATTATAAAAATAGATGTACACATATGTGAATATGAAAATACAAAAACATTTAAATAATCCACAATCCCCTTATCTAAAGATCACCATATTTTGCTATACTCACTACTCTCTAGTCAATTTTCTGTTTGTATTTGGTTCTTTGGACTTTATTAGCCCTGTTACAATTAAGGGCAATGGCCCTGCAGTATTTCTAGTTTCCCAGAGCTTTCAAAAAGATTAATGAGTTTCGGTGCATTTCTAAGGTTGTCATAATTCATAGGTTGTATGAGGGACATAATTCATAGGTTGTATGGGAGACATAATTCCTTGAGTTATAAGATGAGAGTTCAGAAATTTGACCCACCATCCCCCCGTCCCCCTCCCTACCAGACAAGGAGGTGGAAGAATTAGTTCTCCACAGCCCCCATGTGACCCTGGAATGTCCAGATTTGTCTGCTCCTAGCACTTACCCTACCTAGCCCCCAAGGGACTCTAGTTACTTTCTCAGTGGCAAGGCCTTCTTAACACTGTTAAGCTGGGTGCGGTGAGGTAACTCAGACCAGGAGAGGAAGAAGATCAAGAGCACAGTGATCCCAAACACAGTGGAAGGACTGGGGAGCGGGGAGTCCTGGGTGAGGCCAGGGACAGGTGACCTCCCACTTCTGATCTGACCAGCAGTTTCTGAGGTCCCCTCCTGCTCAGAAATCCTCTGATCTCTGCCTCCATCAGAAACCGCCTGAACTGTACCCAGTGCCTTCAGCATCCGTGGCTGATGAAAGACACCAAGAACATGGAGGCCAAAAAGCTCTCCAAGGACCGGATGAAGAAGTACATGGCAAGAAGGAAATGGCAGGTAATAAGGGATCACTTTGGACTGGGCCCCTCACATTTGGTGTATTCAAGCCAACCGCATTACAACTTGTCCTCAACTCCAGAAAAGTTTCAGTTTGTTTTTGAAATAATCCTGGGCTAAGATTGATACTTCACATCTTGCAGCTACTTGGCAACCTTGGAGAATACAATCCCTTTAAAGATAGCCTGATGGTCTTACATTTCTTTAGAATGAAGAAGGAGGGCGCTTGATCTAAAGAGAGAGACACCATCACCACCCTCAAGATAGATTGTATGTTACCAGCTACATGTCCTTGGGCAAGTGACTTGACCTGACTCTGCCTTTTGTTCTCACCTATAAAATGATAATGGTGTCAACATCACAACATTGTTGTGGGAATCATGAAGCAATCTTCATCTAGCCTTTAGCACACTGCCTGTTCACATAGTGAATTCTTCAAAAATGATGCAAGTAGCTAGAACATATGGAGGGCTGGCATAAACATTCAAAGAACTTTCTATGCATTCCTCTTGCGTCACAGGAGATGAATACTATTACCATCCCCACTTTTCAGACAAACTAAGGCAAAGAACGTTTAGGAGAATCATCCAGGATCACTTAGTAAGTAGGAAGGCCAGGATCCAACCCCACAGACTGTATCCTAAGCACACAGCTTTAATGAGACACAAAATTGTCTCTGAGTATTAGCAGGTGGATAAAATAACCATCCAAAACCACAGAGAAACTGTCATTATCTATTTGTATTACCACTGTTAGTATTATAAAATTCCTGAGCTACTGGAGGGTGTGTGGTTTCTTTACTCCAGGAATGTATAATGTAAAAGGGAACTAAGCAGATAGACAAAAAAGGACATACTGTACATCAAGAATTATAAACAATCAGTATATCTCTTCATACCCATATATGTGAGTGTGGACAGGAGAACAGGCTTTACTCCAGAGTTGATGTGGTTGTGAGGAAATGCCCTGGGGCGGGCGTTTGAATTGGTCACGGAACATGGGCTGGAACACAGAGAAGAGCAATAATAGCCCAGACAGAGGAAATGGCACGGATCTGGGACCTGTGCCGCTGGTTTGGCCTTCCTGACAGTACCAGGATCTTTCGTGTGGGTGGTCAGGGAACTGGGGGGCACTCAGGGATGGCCCTTAAGGCAGAGAAAAGGGAAATTGCCTATTTAGGGGCAAATGGACACATAATTTGTTACACAGGATCAGCAAATGCAGTTCCCTGGAAAAATGCAACTTCATACAAAGGTTGAGAGGAGAAAGTGCTAGAAGGACTGCAGGGGTGTGGTTTGTTAAAGAACTGCTGTCCCATACCCACTTAAACCAGAGCTCTTCACAGTGCGAATCAGTTTTTGGTCATCACTCCACCCACCACCACCCCCTCCCTGACACACACACACACACACACACACACACACACACACACAGAAAAGTTTAGGTGGATCTCCTGGGCTCCCTCTAGTGCCAGGTGAGTTGAAACACCTCCCCTGCTTACTCTGTGGGACCAGGATCCAGGAGTGTCGGCTTTCTTTATCATCCTTTGGCGAATCAAATAGCAGTATGCCTGGATCAGATGGGGCTGCTGGGGTGGGAATGGGCTGTCCTTGAAGCTGCATCCCACTGGATTTGCTTGGATGAGACTGGAGAAAGGGGCAGCCTTATCAGGCTTTCTGGGGGAGAGCAGACACATCTGCTGGTGAACAAAACCAGGATGATGTCTAGCTCCCGGAGATAAGCAGAGAAGAGATACAGAATGGGAGAAGTAAATGGGATTTTTCAGTCAGATGGGCCAGGAACCATAATATATGCTGATATTTTAATCAGTTAATTTTTTTTCTTGTTGCATACAGTGTTATCAGCCATAGAATTTTCTATAAGTGAGGGGGGAAGAGAAGGGCAGAATTCAGAGAAGCAACTTAATTGAAATATTTTAATACTTGTGGCAGCATTTGGAAATGTTTTTTCCACAAAAACAGTGGTTAAGTTTCATAAAGTTACACATAAAAGCAGTCCACAAAATCCCATTCAACACATAATATCTCTGAAGCATAATTCCGCTGGGGATAATTCCACTGCATCTGACCATCTTCTGCCATATTGCTCCGCAGGAAAGTGTTTTCCACATGTTCTGCTCCAGGTGCCAAGACCTCCGGCTCCCCTGGAACAGAGAGTTCCCTCTGGAGGCAGCTGAGGTTCTGTGTGGTCGGGCAGGGTGGAGTGCAGTGGAGCAGAGTGGGGTGGACTGCAGTGGAGGGAAGGGGCAGGCAGGAACGCAGAACTCTCTACGGCTGCACTGGAAGAGGTTCTTGTTATCATTTTACTGTCGTTTTCATGAAAGGCTCGGGGAAGAAAGTAACATGAGAATGTTTCCTAGAAACAAGGTAATGTATAGAGACTGATCATACTATTAATCTTAGGATGAAGTTATATATATATCATGCATATCAAAAAGATTTTCAAAGGACATGCTGGTGAGTCTCAGCATCGGGGCTGGGCATGCGAGCTGGATAACAGCAGCTCTGCATGGACAACTAGGAGCAGACGACTAGGACTAGAGGTCTGTGGGCAGCCAACTTCACCTCCCAGACACCATCCATTGGACCCGAGGACTATAGGAAAGAATGCTTATGACCCAGGATAGCACAGAGTACTCTTGGCCGTCACATTTGGATAATATGCCCTTGTCGAGGTATACTGTAGTGTTTTAGGACTACAGGGCCCATGATGGGTGGCTGGCTGGCTCTAGAGAATCAACTGGCCTCAGTTGCAAGGGATCCTCTCAGCTTTAGCATTGAGAGACCCTCATCCTGGGAAACCTCAGTCCTGGGCAAACCAGGCTGGCTGGCCATCATCCCTGGCTGGCCCAGAGGAAGGTGCCTGTCCTGAATCAGAGAGCCTGGTGCGGGCCCTGCCCTCCTGGAACGCAAGAACCCGCCATGGCAGTGCTCTCAAGCAAGTAAAAGCTTGTTCAAAACAAGGATGCAACTTAAAAAATTGACGTTTGCTGTCATGACGGTCCAACATTTTTAAAGGTCTTGACCAGTAAAGCAGCCACTAATGTTCCCCTCAAAAGCATGAAACCAGAAGCCTAGGACATACAGGTATATTCCTCTCCCAGTTCTGACAAATAACTTCCCTAGCAATTTTTTTATTCAGAAATCAGTTTGCAAAGATTGAATTCTGATGTAGATTATATTTTAAGTTTGTCCTTGTTAACCACTTCTTACATTTCTCCTCGTTTTAGAAATTATATGCTGTATCACACCATCTGATGGAAAAGATCCCCCTGTATGTGACTTACTCATTAGTCCATGTGAATTTGATTGCCTCATTCTGGTGCCTTCATATTCTTTTGTTAGTAGAAGAAGGAAGACACACAAGCGAAGACAGTCCTGGCCAGCCACCATCTATTTGCTTAGAGTTAGGGAACCCATGAGTCCTGGGGGGAAGTGTTTCATAGTCCATGTCCACAGGCATGAATCATAGCCGTTCTAACGAAAACCAGAGCTGCAGAAAGATTGGATTTTCTCATCCAAGGACATGAGATCCAGAGAGGGGCACAGACTTGCTCAAGATCACACAGTAATTAGTGGTTAGAGGGCTAACCTGTCCCTTATGGAGGACAAATCCTCAGTTTATAGATCACTAGCCCAGGGCAAACCAATAGGTGTTGGATACAAGGAAGGGAGAGCTAAGAGTCTGGCTGATTAGGAAGTAGTCTGCTCTGACGTCAGTGCCACAGGGAGGGCTGTCGTGGTTGGCAACACATCTTACCCATTCCAAAGGTCGAGCTAAGCTCCCATGGGAAGAGCTGAGTCTCTCTACACTGCAGCTAGTGCAACAAATAGATCAATGATGTCACCAGTGACAGCCTCTCCCACAGGAGAGTGCAAGATCGCCAATTGGTCTCAGGCTGCGTGGCAGGCGCTCTGCAGCGCCACGCGCCTCTGCACGCAGTTCACTTGGTCAGTTGGCAATTCTCACCTTCTGTTGCTCATCACCTGGGCTTCTGTTCAGAGTGGCCCAGCTTCACTGTGGCAAGAAGGCCACGCTGCAGTCATGTGTGCAAGAGGGCAAATGGCCAGATGATGAGCAAGATGACCTGTCTGTCCAAAGTGCATGAGAAGAGTCTGCAACTAGGAGGGCTTGTGACATGACAGAAAAATGACGGTCTCCACTGAAACCTCTCTCCTCTCTCTTCCTCCCTTTTATTCTCTCTCTCTCTCTCTCTCTCTCTCTCTCACTCACTCCCCCTCCCCCTTTTTTTCTGTATGGTTCTTTAGTGCCCTGAAATTCTTTACTTCCAAAATAATCAATCTTTTTACTGGCACATTCTGGATTTCCAGATCGTTCGAAATCTGGAAATACTTAGTGTGGGAAGTGAATTTAGGAGGAAAATGACTGCCGGAAATGGGCGATCCAATGGGCAAGTGCTAGACGTTTGCCCATGTATAGGCTGTTTCTTTTGCTTTCTCCAGAGAAACAAGCAGTCAGTCTGTGGTGTCATCTGCTCTCTGGATGTCTGAAAGGATGGTTTGGGTGTAGAGGTGGAAAGAGTTATGCCTTAGTTTCTTATCTTAGCCATCCTATTGATTTTAGAAAAAGAGTGAGAATCTGTCTCTGGTGAATCCTCTCACCCTCTGCACCTCTGGCCTCTACCCCACCAGTTCAAAAAAGGAAAGAAAGAAAAAGAGTGAGAAAGATTTTTTAAAAGGGCAGGAGCATAGATACAACATAACATTGGGAATTTCTTGGCCTCAGTCCTATGCTTGGTAGGATTTTTCACAATGCAAAGAAAATTTTCATCTTAAGTTCTGATGTCCTTTTCAGATCTTTTCAGAAGTGCTGCCCTGTCCCAAAGTACCTCTTCTCAGAAGAGAAGAGGTGCTTTTCCTTTCCTTGGGCTTCATTTTTGTGCCCGAGTGTGCTGCATGAAACAACACCCCTCCAGAACCTCACTGACGTTCATAGACTGGTGCTGGGGCCAGCAAGTTTCTCAAAATCTCTTAAACTTCAGAATCATAGGCAGAATTAAATGAAATCCTGGAGACAATCTTGTCCAACCCTCTCCTTCTACAGAGAAGGAAACTGAAGCTGAGAGGTTAAATGACTTGCCCAAGGTCAATAATTTTTTTTATTTTTTATTCTTTTTCCGCATCAGGGCCTGTGGGATCTCTAGTAACTATCTTCCCGACCAACTAAAATCCTATCGCTAGCATTGTTTTACGAGAAACAGCCCCAGCGGGCCCTGTCAGCAATAAGTCTTTGGAGCTGTCTCAGCCTGCAGTTGCTTTATATAAACTATCCCTTTTATGGGAGTTGAAGCACAGTATGAAAAGGGTTTTTGTCTCATGTTGACCTTGTTTAGTCACATTAATGCACACATCAGTTCCAGGCCCCATTCCTTTCTCTGAACATCTTCTGACACGCTGATAGTGCTGAGCAGAGCAAGGTTGGGCTCACTCCTCCAGCAGAAGCTTGGTGCACGGAGGCCTGTTGCAGGGGACAGCAGCTGCTCCTGGGTCGGGCCCTTCTCCCTGAGTTCCTCTGCCCCGCTGGAACCAGGGACACTGCCTGAGTCCAACCTCAGTGTCTGTTTTCCAGAAAACAGGCAATGCTGTGAGAGCCATTGGAAGACTGTCCTCTATGGCAATGATCTCAGGGCTCAGTGGCAGGAAATCCTCAACAGGGTCACCAACCAGCCCGCTCAACGCAGAAAAGCTAGAATCAGAAGGTAAGGAGCTCCAGGAAGATTTTCTTCAACCTATTGGTGAGAAAGGAAGGGTGGGGGCTTGCGGATCATTTTGAGGTTTGGAGGTTTTGGATGTTTTTTATAATACAAGCTACAGGATAAAATTCAGAACTACTTTAGACTGCCCTGACAATTAAGAGTTTAGTAGCTTTTTAAAAATTGTTTATCCTGAGGTTTGACTGTTTTCTGAGAGAACGTTAGATGGGCTCCACTTTTCTCTTCCTGATATTTTACTTAAGACTTAGTAAGGCTTTATTCAAAGGCTCTTTCTCATTACAAAGTGATACTGTGGGTAGATAGTGGGTAAACAAAATAAAAAATCATGTAGTAGTTTATATTTTTATATAACCCTTAAAATAAATTTTAAATATTCATAAAAGTAAAAGATATTTCTGTACTCTATTTTCATGTTTTTCCTTCAAACAAACATTAATTCAAATAGTCCATTTTGGGGGCAGTTTTCACGATGCTTAACCATGTCATGTGAACTGGGTAGACTCTGATGGGCAGGCCCCTTCTTGGAGACCAGTAAGGTTAGCGCCCCTCTGTCATACAGATGCTGCCCTGTCTATCTCCTCGGTAAAGGCCTCGGCCTCTTCCTGTTTCAGATATGTGCCCTTATCTTCTTGAGGTGCTCATTTGACCAGAGACACCTCCACTTTATGCTGCTGGGGCTTTTGGTATCCAAAGGCAAGGAGTTACGTCTAGATTGCATTTCGCACAAAGGGTGGGCAATTGGCAAGACCCCTTGTTTGAGTGTTCTTATGAGACTGAGACAGAATCATTGGCAGAACATAGACCTGCCCTCTTGATCTATTCCTGCCACTACTCAGATGACCCAGAAATAGTCTGAAGGAGAGAGAGAGGCAACAGGATCCCGTTTTTTTCCTGAGGCCAATCCCAAATCCTGTTTCACAATCATAAAACATGAAAGTAGCATAAATGTGGTGAACAGAACTAGCACTTCCAGATGCCTCTATGGCATGGCTTCTCCTGTCTAACAGGCAAGTGAAGGATCTGCCACAGGCAGACCAAGGGGTACAAAGAGATCAGGAAGGCTGGTGTGATTCCGTCCTTCTTAGATACCCTCATATGTATCCTGAAACAGATGAAATGCAGCCAAAAATCCTTTTTAAAAATTATTTCTTTTCAATGTGTCAGCATAAGGGAAGCGGGGAGGCCAAACATTTCCCGAGTTTGGGCACAGTTCTCTCCTCTGCCAAAGCCATTTGGCCAGTGGCCAACCTGTCCTCAGGAGAAAGGTGTATGATTCAGTCCTCTAAGCTGCATCTTTTGCTAAATTATAGCAACACTTAAAAAAAAAAAAGTTAGCTTTTTCTAAACTACGGAAGTGGAGAGAACAAGGAATGAAGAAATGACCACATCTCTTCCCTTCTAGAAGATGTCTCTCAGGCTTTTCTTGAGGCTGTTGCTGAGGAAAAACCCCATGTAAAACCCTATTTCTCTAAGACCATTCGTGATTTAGAAGTGGTGGAGGGAAGTGCTGCTAGATTTGACTGCAAGATTGAAGGTAAGTTGTAGCTGTTCTTCTTTTACTACAAAAGGAGTATGGTTGACTGGGGGAGCCCTACTGTGCACCTGGAGCAAGATGCCAGTCTTAGACAGCCTGAGAACCGTTAGAAACAGCTGGTGAGGGAGTGAGTCAGGAGGGGTGGTCCTACAGCCCACTACCCTGCTCCATCCCCTTAAGGTTCATGCCCTTCAGTGACTCGCTGCATATGAGAGTTCACCTACTTGCATCACCTAGTGATTTTGCATGGACCTACTTAGCTATGGAACATGCTTAATAAGATGTGCTTTGCAAACTTCTAGAAAACATGTGAATTGACCACAAGAGGCTCTCAAAAGAACATTGGCACAAAGGGTGGAGTCCTGGCTCACTGCACATCGGCTCAGTTGGGCGGGGATCAACTAGTGTGGGAGTGCTGGGGTTGGGGTTCTGCTGAAAACCTCGGCTGTAAGATGGCATCTAATGCCCCAGGTGGCTCTAGGGATTCTGTGACATGACACATGCAAAGAGGGGAAACCTTTTATGTCTTTTAAAGATTCATGTGGTCAATGGAAAGGTTGTGGACAAAGGGAGAACAGGTTTTGGATCAAACTAAAACAAAGATGCAATGTGACTTCAACCTGAAGGAAATCACTCAATTTGTGCATCTTCCCAATGCTTGCTTCTCCACCTGCCAGGAATAGTGTGGCCATAGACACGTGAGAGGCGTGAGTTATTAGCATTCAAGAAGCGTTAAGGGATCATAGCATAGCACCTGAGAAATCAGCAATGTTGCTGACATAAAGATTTCATTTCTACAGATTGCAACATTTTAGGAAAATAAAAGCAAGATGAGACAGGGCTGGATGCTATTGTCTTTGAGTTTGTCACAGTCATGTGCCAATCATAGTGGATGCTTATCTTCCCTTTCAGTCTGACCAAATAAAACACAGAAGTTCATTAAGAAACTTTCCCAAGGTTACATAGCACAGGACTACAGTCTGTAAAAGCATGTTTCCCATTTTGTAAGATTCCCCAGCAATATATTAGATATTTACATTTTGGATAAAGTAACCCAAAATTAGCAATGAAAAAGTTTTTCTCCTGTGTCATATTAGCAAAATGCCTTGGCTTTTATAATCTTTTTCCTTTCACATTCAATAATAAACCAAAGTGGATGTGCTGCCTTTGCTAGAGTGAGAGTACCCACATTGGGGTTCTGCTGAAAACGCTGGGCCTCTGCTTGTAATTCTTCATCATCAGTGTCATTGGGCCCCTGAAAGTCTTTCCTTTTTTAAGTTTTAAAAATTATTGTAACATAGTGATTCCCATCTTTGTATTCACTTTTTTCTTTGGGATTATTTCTTTGGTATTTGTAGAAGCTTGGAGAACTAAAGAGAAATGAAAGCAAAGGGGTGCTGCTCCAGTAAAAATAAAATTCTACTTGAAAAGAATGTTAGGATTCTTAAGTCCTAGAGATAATCTTTATTCTGGTTGAGGTTACAGGTTGGTTTTTGTTATTTTTGTTGTTCTGTAAAAATGCTTCAAAATTTAAGAACACGTCTGCTGGAATTCTTTTATATGTATTTTAAAGGCATGTATCATATGTGTTTATATAGAGATCGTGTATGTTCTTAATACTGAACTTCGCAGAGACATGACTAATGCATAAAATGAGGCTAATCAATGCGGTCAATGATCAACTAAACTAAAGACTTTGGATCGAACTTTCTTCTTCTTCTTCTTCTCCTTTTTTTTTTTTTTTTTAGAAATATCAGTTCCTCTAAGTTACGTTTTACATACCTGCCCTCAACTTTATTGAATTATAATTTACACACCATAAAATGTATCCATTTTAAGTCTACAATTCAATTTTTTTTAGTAAATTTACAAAGCTGTGCATTCATAACCACAATCCCATTTTTGAACATTTTCATTGCCCTCTAAAAATCCCTCCATTTGTTCTGTCACTTTTTATTTAAATTTATTTATGTTGGAGCTTTTATACAAGGTAAAATAAATTTCTATTCATCCAAGAAACTATAATATTTCACTCTAGGTGTGGCATGGGACTCAGGGTGGTGGTCCAGGTAGTGCTCGATATTTGTATAAAGGTGGGAGGTGGTGCCAGTAGGTGGGTGGGAAGTAAGGTGACTAAGATACCTTATTTGGGGTTTCAGATATTAGTGTTTACAATAGATGTCCATATTCAAATATAAATCTCAAAAAAGACACCAAGAGCTATCATATTTTTTTTCTTTTCCCCCTTAATCAATAGGGGTAGCTTAAGAGTGGATTACATGAGTCAATAAGAAATTCTGAATAATGGTTTCTGCAACTTGTGTTCCCTCCCTGTGATATAGGTTACCCAGACCCTGAGGTCGTCTGGTTCAAAGATGACCAGTCAATCAGGGAGTCCCGCCACTTCCAGATAGACTACGATGAGGAAGGGAACTGCTCATTAATCATTAGCGACGTTTGTGGGGATGATGATGCCAAATACACCTGCAAGGCTGTCAACAGTCTTGGAGAAGCCACCTGCACTGCAGAGCTCATTGTGGAAACCATGGAGGAAGGCGAAGGAGAAGGGGAAGAAGAGGAAGAAGAGTAAAACAAAACCAGAGAGAAGCAGTTTCTAAGTCCAGCTATAAAGACTCTTTCTCTTAAGGTTCCAAACAAACAAGCAAACAAATCCATGATATTAAAAGCACCTATTGTGATAGATTATCTAGTTAAGCCATCTGGGGGTTGACTCTTCAGCAACAGCAGTTGATACCTAGCAACGTTTCTGATGGGCATTAATTGGAATTAGTGGGCACCTTAAGATACCATTACAGTACAGCTCGTTTTTATTATGGAAAATCATCGGTAACTTGTCTGACGGGTTGATTTTAGAAAGTAACTAAAAGAAATATTTATCTGGGCAGTCATAAATTCCCCAATTGAAAGTGCTCGCAAAAAAATAAGATCCTGAAGCCACAGCTCAGCCCAGAGGGTGCCTGGAGATGGAGGGCCCTTCCCTGCTCCTGACTCCAGAGGTCTGGGTCTTCTCCAGGACTGCAGCACTTCATTAACAAGCAGATGAGCCATTTTAACTTCCAAGGCACATTTTATTCCAAAGTACACTGCAGATATTCAAACTTGCCCTTTCTCTCCCCTCATTCTACCTGTCAGTTTTTCTGGATCTGACCCTGCCATGGGTTTAAGCACGAAGGACATTGCACTTCTTAGGTTCTAAAGACAGGTCCCCGCTCATGGATGGCTCTGGCATCCTTGGGAAAATAGAATCTCTTTTCTCCCTTAAATCAGTGGGAAATCTAAACGTATCCCCTCTTTGCAGATGTCTAGCAGCTTCAGAGATTTTTATAAGAACCCGTGAAAAAAAATCTTTGCTAATGTGCTTTTCTTCTGAAACCAGGATTCCTGTCTACACTGTTAAAGAACAGCAGCTCTGCATGTGTGGGACAGATTTTTTGTGTGTGTTTGAATGTATGGAAAACCAGTTAACTGAAAAATTAGCTTTAATTATTTATTGGCCACTATGAAACAGATTTCAACTGATGAAGAGCTGTAGAACTGCATATACTTTGGTGTCTCCTTCAGGATAGTGAACACACCTTCATTCTGAATACTCCAGAGCACTCTGCTACCTCTGGGTTCCACCATTTCCTTCCATCGAATGTGCATCAATCATGCCTTGCCCCCAACCTTGAAATATATTCTTAGACCTGATAAATGCACTCAGACTTGCATCATTAGGAATTTTTAACTTACTTTCACTACATTGGCACTTAAATTTGTCGTTAATCAACTTTTTGAAGGTCATAAGCAAAGACCATAAACTGATAAGCCTAGTTCATTTCTTCTGTGTGCGTGTGTGTGGAGCATTCCAAATACTTTTTTCTTTTCCACTGTTTGTAAATGCAGCCATTTAATAGTTCAAGGAACATTTTAATAGTTCCTTAAGAATCAATTTTAAATGACTTCAGTGCAATTGTACACAGTATCAACATTAGAATTTTGATATTATTTAGTCTTGTGTTACCTTCCATTCTAGTTTTATCTGCTTTTTGCTGCTAGTTTCAAATTGCCAGTATTTTTCCTTTTGGCTTTTTAAGCAGTTACAATTTTTTTTCGTAATAGCCACAGTATTGCCACCATTTATTATAATAAAGGGTTTTTAATTTGATTTAGAGCATCCAAAGCTTTTTCTTCATCACTTTTGTGTTTAACTATAATCTTTGTGTGCCTGTATGTTTTGTGTGTGTGCAAGTGTGGTGTGTGTTTGTTTACAGGTTTTTAATGCCTTCTTGAAATTGTGTTAATGTTCTCCCAGGTTATTCTGCCATCAGAATGGTAAATGAGAACAGTGCAACTGTAGTTAGCTCACAATTTTTAAATAAAGGATACCACAGTGCATGCTGTTCGTGCCATCTTTGCAGCCTTCTCTTCATTTCCATCAAGTGTACCCAGATCTTGGAAACTAAAACCAAATGGTGTGCTGCATAAATAACTTACATGGTCATGTTTTACAAGGAACAGAATGACTTAGGTAGTTCTTTTTTATACAAATGTGCCTAATTTACACATTGAGTTCAGAATTTCTCTCAAGCATCAGTTTGGTTCGTTCAGTCACACTCCAGATAGAGTTATAGTATCCTCATAATGCTAGAATCCATATGACAGATTTAGCATGTAACAAAATTGCCATCATCATTAATATTTACCGGGACTGTTTAGCATTTGTATTGTTGATGTCATTGGTTACTGGCAGCCAATGCTGCCTTTCCATGTCTTGATATTGAAGCATTTGTTATCAGGAAACCATCGCTGCTGCTTTATAGGAAGTCTGTTCTCAGATATCAGATGGTGAGGAACCCCATGTCTTGAGATGTTTAAACACTAGATATTCTAAAAAGTATTCAAGACATGCTGTTAAATGTTGGAGTTTGTGAGTCTATGAGTCCACAGTGTGCTTCAGAGAGAAATAATTCATTGTCTAGTTAATACATTTTTTTTCATTTTTTAAAGCAACCACAATCCATAAATGTTCCTAGTGAGGAAATTATTTTTAAAGAAAAGAACCTTTTAGGAACTCTTGTGCACTGTTGGTGGGAGTGCAAACTGGTCCAACCACTATGGAGAGCTGTGTGGCGATTTCTGGACCTACTAAACATAGAGCTTCCATATGATCCAGCAATTCCACTCCTAGGTATTTACCCAAAGGACACAGAAACATCCATTCCAAAGAGCACCTGCACTCCTATGTTTATAGCAGCACTGTTTACAATAGCTAAGCTTTGGAAACAACCCAAATGCCCAAAAATAGATGACTGGATCAAGAAGATGTGGTACATATATACCGTGGAATATTACTCAGCATTCAAAAAAGATAAACACATGCAATTTGCAGCAACATGGATGGCGCTGGAAGGGATCATGCTCAGCGAAATAAGCCAAAAAGAAAAAGAAAAATACCGGATGGTCTCACTCATAGCAGGAATCTAGAAAACTTAAATAAGGGACCAGGAAAATGAATATAAGAAAGTGAAAATCAAAATCAACAAAAAACTATGAACCAGAGACACTTTTTGGGGGTGGGGGGCGGGAGGGGAAGGATTGGGGTCAGAATGGGGCGTTTGCAATTGTATGGGGGATATAAAAATAAAATTTAATATTTAAAAAAAAAAAAAAAAAAAAAAAAAAAGAACCTTTTATACCTGGCCAATGAAAAATGTACCGTGTATATTCTGCATGAGGAAAACATATTTTTTCTTCCATTCCATTTGCATTCCAAACCTATTTTTTAAAAACTATCCATCGAGTATTCTTGCATTGCAGAGCTTCATAATGAAAATTTCCATGTAATTAAAATGATGTGCTTACTGCTGTCAGTTCTGATTTTATGTAGAGTTTTATTTTCCATTTTGCCAACATTTAACAAATCAGTATTAATGAGTATCAAATGGGTGAAGGGTAATTATATTTTAAAGAAACTCAATTCCCCACTTTTCAAGAAAGCACAAGTAACTCTTCTTTCCTATTTGGGAACCCCTTCTCTTTCCCTTGAAGGCAAGGCTAATGTCTATAACAGTTATTACTGAGCTGACTTCTGGCACTCTGTTATAACGCACTCCTGGCTCTTGGGGTAGGTAAGGCCATCTGACAAGCCCTGGTTGGTGGTCTGTGAGAAGACATGTGTTCCCTTGGGGCCACAGCATGTAAGTGTTGGTGCAAGACTCTCCATAATGACTGGCAGTATGTGAGATGGTGGTTACTCTAGCCAACCAACCCCAAACAGGGACATAATGCAAGCATGATACAAACCTTTGTTCTTATAAGTCACCCAAAATTTTAGGGGTCTGTGTGACTGCAACACAACCTAGATTATGCTGTATGAAGCTCTTCACCACATGCTATATGTGTTCTGACTGACAGGATAGCCACTTGTCATGGTGGCTATTTAAATTAAAATAAATAAAAGTTAAAATTCAGTTCATCAGTCATATTAGCCATATTTCAAGTACTCAATAATCACTTGCAAATAATGACTGCTTTATTGGATAGCACACATTAGAAGTATGGCCCCGATGGAAGATAAGAACTTTCTGTAAATTTCTATCAGCACCTTGTAAGTGAATAAGGAAGAGAAGAGAAACCCCAAATTTTATATTAAGTGTACATATCACTTGAAATTATTGTGAAATTAAAATGCAGGCATTTGTGTGAAATCAGTCTAAAGAGTGTATGCTCCTTTGCATAGCGAATAGAGAAAAACTCATCAGATCTTGTGAGTCTTATTTTCCAATGAAGAGGAAATTTCTCAGTGTTACCTTAACTTTAATCACTCCTAACTTTCATCACAAAAAAAAAAATTCCCTAATTTTCAATTGATATTTACAAAAGCTCATTCACATTGACTTGTTTTGAACAACATATTAATCAAAGAGCAAATAGGGCTCTCTAGGCAGACCCAGGAAGACTGAGTAGATATCTTTTTAAAATTGTCTTAGAGGGCCTCCCTGGTGGCACAAGAGGTTAAGCACAGCACTGTGAAGCTATCCGCAGCCTCTGCAGCATGAGTTCGATCCCCGGCCTGCCAGGGAGCTACCCACATGGCATAGCAGACCTCTCCTGACTTGCCCGCTGTTCCCCTCAGCAGTGTATTTTAGTCAGTCTGCCTGTTCTGCTCCCCACTCTGTCTCTGGTGAATCCTCTCAACCCCCGCACCTCTGGCCTGTATCCCAGTTCTTGTATGCATAAATAAATAAATCTTTAAAAAAATTAATAAAATAAAATAAAATTGTCTTAGAAAGCTCAAAACAGACAATCCTGTATTTCTGGAGAATCAGGAATCAACTCCCAGATGTAAACCAAGGCCTTAGGGTCAAAGACATCCAACTAAGAGATCAAGGCAGAGATCATATGAGATAACTAAGAATTAGGACAGAGGAGGGTCCAGAATCCAGGAAGTCAGAACACATCAATAATACCCATGGTTGAAGTGCAGAAAAAGCATTCGCAGGCTTACGTTGTTAATGACAGATGAGCTTCTTTAAAGTTAAATTAGTTGTCTAAGTAGACAAATTATTTAAAATGTCAATAATACACTCTCTTAATGAATGTCTTATATTCATTTATTTAAAGTATCTCAGTTAACTAATTTC